TTTGAGTCGTAGAATCGAAATATGGAAAAAAATTGTCATGTAATTTCAGAAAAAGTCCTATTTTGTGTCAAAATACCTATATTAGAACAACGTTATATATAAATCTAATACATACCCTAAGTCGCACTATCCAGACATAAAAACGCAAGTTGAATTTCGTTCTATCGGCCCAGTAGAACGGGAGATAGAGAACTTTTTTTTCCCTGTGTACTTTGATATTACTGGTTGATAAAGAACTTCATTTTTCTTTATATTGTTTAATAAGATTTAAACCTTTGCAGTTTACTTTTGCGCAGCTCTGAATTAAAAATATTGTTGTGATTTCAAATAGACAGGCACTTACAAAGTACTATTTTCGTCAGGAATGGTCAAATCCCATCGGCTATACAACATCATCATCAGCGAGAACACTGAGCAGAACATATCACAAGAAGTTATGGAATTACATCCTCGAGAAAGTGTAAGCTCTGTTCGAATTTTAATGGAGAGTCTTAATTTCAATGAAGATCTTCCCAGAGGACGTATCTGAAGATCTAGTCCTCTTCTCCTACCACTACTCTCTCGAGACGATTTTCGATTCGCTAGTATTTTAAATTCTCACAAAACACAAGGATACTAACAAAAATCCATGTGGTAGGGTAGAGGGGTGGGAGACCCTCGCTCTTCCCTGATGCTTTCTTTCAAAACGGGGATGGAAGTAGAAGTCCAACCTCCTAGGTCCAGGAGGCTCTGGCAACCATTCTTTTATTAAATACCTGGACAAGACAACAACAACAAAAACAAATTCATGCCTTTTACAAGAAGCGAATCCGGGCCCAAGGAAACGGCAGCCAGCTATGGCAACACGGCGACAGAATTTAAAATACGCATTATAAAATTTTCCTTTGTTTCATGCAAACTATACTACAGAGATAGAATGTGATATCATTAGTTAATATAAAAGTATGATACGTTTCATAACAAAAGGGAAAAACATTTTTTATCAGATTAAAAAGATGATTATGAGCATTAAAACTAAGATTTATGCTCTATGTATCTTCATTGCAAAAAATTCCGAAAAACTTAAAATGCCTTCCTTTTTCAAGAAATTACCATCGTATTTGAAACTGCACTTTCCTTTCCCCAAATTATTTCTTTTTGATTGTCTAGGTATCTAATTTAGGCTTGCACTTAAGGAGACTTAAGTCTGTCCAAGTTCCAACTGATTTTAACCTAAAGAATGACATTTGGAAGTTGAGAGACACCATCACTGTACCAAAAGGTTTGGCGGTATTGTCTCGCATCCTCGCAAACCCTGGCATTAGAAGATATAATCAAATACCACTGCGGGGTATATGACAGGAGATTCTATCTAAGTAGGAATAAATTGCCTGTTTCTGTGCATTAAAAATTAATGGGGCGGGAAGAGATGCAGTCACAGTGTCACTGTACTCCGTTGATACAAAGTTAACTCTTAATTTTATCTAATATCTAAATTAAGGATTACATCTTAATTTACGATGAAACTCCTATTGACCAAATTTAATAGTAAGTAGATAATGTTGTTTTCATTATGATTCAATAAAAAATGTAAAGTAGCTGATGTAACACTATAACCATTATTTTTATGACGAAAACTGAAGTTATTAAAAATATCACACCATCTGCATTTTGAAGAATAATTAGATCCTCCCGTGCATGATCTCATGCTTTAAATGGCAGCTCATCCAGCTAGTCAATTCCAGGGATAGTGCAGCCAATTTTTAACTTTAATATTTCAAACAAAATTAATATTTCAATAGTAGTGCCCGAATTGGTTGGACGTTAATTCCTCACTAGCTATATTTCGTTGTCAGGGTTTTGTACCTCTCAACAGTCATTCATTAAGTGGAAAAGAATGTAAAGAATTATCTCACTCTCACGTCGTACTTTTGTGTATATATGGTAGCGCATCCAACTAGTAACTGGAAGCTCCGTGGTTTGAATACTATTGAGGGCACAAGCGCGTATGTGAATATTCTATTCCAAAAACCTAATATCTCTGCGACATCACGTTTTTACAGTTAAAAAGATTATCTAAATAAAGAAAAATTTTACGTATTATTACTTTTATTAATTAGGATATAATGTTTATGACTATTTTAATAACCAAATATTCTTAAAATGCGAAATTTGGAGTTTTTTTGTTTTCATTTAAAAAAAAAAAAAGTGAAAAGTAACATTAAGTCTTAAAATTAGCTTGGCAACAGCATTGTATTTGGCGTAGATTTGTATTTGGCGTAGATTTGTATTTGGCGTAGATTTAGTCAGTAACTCAACTAATAACTTGACTAAATCTACACCAAATACAAGGTTGTTGCTTTGCTAATTTTATGATTCACTTTGGCGTGTTTCTTTTCTGTTTTGGACATTGACGAACTATCGGCTAATGATTACTTAAATACTTCTATTTAAGTATAATCTCATCATCAATGTAATTATTTTAGCACACACACCATTTGCACTACAGGGTGGCCAGAAACTCCTCCGCACATGATGACACCTCCGCAAATAGTCGCCACGAAATGACTATCATAGGTCAAGGTTACTATCTGACGACGTGTGGCGGTCAGAGGTTGTACATTTTTACTGCCCACTGTTTACAATGTGATTTCCAGCTCTCTTGAAGAAAAATAAAACTTTATTAAGGAAAAATAGCTCACTTACCCTTTCGTTCCTTAACTGTTAAATATGTCAAGGTCAGGAGGTCAGCAACCATGGGCTTGATGACTCTGCATGTTTTTGTGAAGTCATCTTAATGATGACTGGAATGGATGGTGCATAGTGAGAGTGAGGGGTCAATAACACTAGGAAAGGAGGAATTCGCAATTATTGTTTTTCCGTGCCATTGTGTAACTAGTTTTCTGAGGGTCATTATTACTTTTTTCTCCATTTCGAATGGATTTTAAAGGACATAATTAACCGAAAAGAAATCTTTTGAAACGGAAACATATATTTTAGAAGCAACTTTATATTATAACAAATGTAAGAATATGTTTTTATTCATGTCTGTGCTTTACTGTTGGAATAAAGTACCTTTTCAAATTATGCAGAATTTCATATGAATTATTTTGAAATTTTTATTTCTTACATGCCTTATCATAATTCTTTCGTAAATTATTTTTTTAGGTTTTTGATTAGCAAACCTAAGTTTTAGGTGCAGGATTGTCGAAATATTTAGCAAATGGTCTATTCAGATGTTTCACTGTAATGTATTAGTAATTATAGAAAAAAGCCTAATTAAACATTGTTATTGTTATTAAAAATGTTATTGTTTGAAAAAATAAGATTATGTTTTACGTAAAATCTCCCCCTTCTGTGGTCGAAACTGTCTTGTCCCACATTGACTTCGGTTGTCACTTTAAATAAAACAATCTTCATCTTGTTTCAACATTTCTATGTGCTCTTTATTTAAAAAATAATGGCATGCATTATCTAAGTTTCATCCATTTAAATAAATAACAGTATTTAATTATCTCTGACTGCATAATTACAATCAAGTGTTGTTGTCACATCATCAAGTACTGCTTCACTACATCAATTTAACTATTTGACACGATACACGATAGTATGAATTATCGTAGATACGTTACATGAATACATTACTTGAATCGCTATGGTATACAATACATTATTTCAATCGTGATAGTATGGTCAGCTTACTTAATTTCTCGTTGATAAGTTTGATTTAAATTATCGTGATTTTTAGTAGCTTTGCGATCATTGTTATAATTCGTAAAAGTTAGTAGTAGCCCATAAATCAGTTTTGGAAATATCACTCAAAATTCATAGTTATGTTAAACATTTTCTAACAAACTTAATTGGAATACTCTTTTCTTACTAGTGTATACGATGGTCAAGATATCAATATTGTACGATGATCAGTTTAATCACTACTCAAAATGTGCGAAAATCCCTTATAATCTCTCTAAATTATAGAACTTACATGGTATTATTTAGAAAGGTTTCTGTGAAATATCGTAATGTCACCTTTAATGCATGCAATGCATTAGAGGTGACATCTCGTATGCATGCAAAATTTAAAGAATGTCCGTTGAAATGTGTCAAAATTGATTTTAAGATCTAATGCAAACGCAGTATCAAAGAAACTAAAAACAATAGCGTAGTTAGTTAAATCCTTCACATCTAACTAATAAAATAATTTATCGAAGGCTTTTTAACGAGCATTTTGTGTAATACATTCAATATAAAAAAAGTTCACAAGCACTTTTACGTCATTATCGCAAATGAATATGGTTTTATTTCGGCATTTGGAAACAAAAATTGGGATCTGATGCTATGTATAAAGTAAAAAATGACGCACAATAATATATTACCTTAAATATTTTATTTTCAATTATCAGTTGCCATAGATTCTGAAAAGCGCTGTAGATTATCTGTGTAACGTCATTAATACTACAACTCAAATATAAGTGATCTTCACGACCAACATACCATTGGAACCATTGCAAATATATGTTGCATTCATTATTTACTTCAGGTGGATAAGATTCTGAATTTTTCCATCGCAAACCAATGTTTTTACATGAGTTTCAATGGAAAACGCGGACTAGTGAGGTAAAATCCAGGTTTCGCCTAGCCATGATCCTTCGGTTCACCTAATGCACTATCCTGAAAATCTAACACTTAACATTTCTTTCTCAAGCTTCAAAACATCTTGGTGTTTTATTATTATATAAGCTGATAATATAACTTTGTTCCAAGCTTTCCACAAATGAAAATGCTGGAGTATAATAAGGTAAAGCGCATATTATATGATATAGCACGATATTGTACCAATAATTTTCAGGCAATTATTGTAATCTGTAAAGAAATGGAATAATTTTGTATATAGCAAATATTATTAATCATTCTATTTGTATTTCTATTTTGCAACTTATACGCAATTCAAATGTAATATCATATCAGTATTTCTTTCAGGGCTGCTTTTATTTCTGATATGTTCATATAAATATTATTAGGTGTTCATTACTCATTGTGTTATTTTTAATTTTAGCTCCTGTACAAGAAACATCAGTGGGTAGATATGCTAATGAAAAAGGTAAGCATTTGTGTAAAACAGAATTGCCATTTTTAACAAATTTATGGCCTACCTTGTATACATAAATCGTAGTTTAATTTTTTATACATAATGAAAATTTTAAAGAATGTTTGTAAATACTTTTCTGAGTCGTTCTAGCTAATGTATTTGTTCCTTCATCACTAACGTAATAAAAAAGTAAAATATGCAAATAATGGGATGACTGTTGGAAAACAGTATTTCTAAGATTTAAGAAAAATAGTGTTCAAATTATTGAAATAATGAGGATAATTATGATTTTATTTTAGGTTGCTACTACTTCAACAAACATTATTCCAGTGGCGAGAACATTCACACTAATGAACCTTGTCTCAACTGCACGTGCGTCGGCAGTACCTTAATGTGCTATCTTAGGGTATGTCCGATGGTCAAGCCTTTGGGTGCCAACTGTAAATCTGTCATGCACGTGGGAGATTGTTGTCCTCAATTCTGGTGTCCGGAAGGTAAGTCAGCAGAGTCAGTTTTATTAGCTTTAACATGGTCGTCATTAAGTACAGAGTAGCTCATCTACCAACTTTAAATGACAACAAAAAGACAATTAATGTTTGTATTAATTTTATGTGGTTGGGAACTGAAAATATACATACAAGCATTTAATGTAGTACATATATTTCAGACATCAGTGAACACTGAAATAAATACCCTCTTTCTGCTTGAATGCATTGTTAGAAATGATTCTATGACAAGTATCAAGATGGACTGTGAAATACTAGGACGTCTCAGTTTACAGTAGTCCTCAGTTTGACAATCGTCCACATACGATCTCTAAAACTAACGCGAAAACAAAATAGTCGAGAGAAGTCAAATCTGGAGACCCATACTTGTGCTTGCCGTTGCGCCATTCGATCTGAACCAAAACTTTATCCACTTACCACCTTGTCCAAAATTCTAGAGATCTTCATTATCTTTCTAGTGAACCTATTCTATTTCTAGAGATTCTATTCTTTCTAGTTCTTCACACGACCTGTTTGAATGAAGGCTTCTCTTCCCTTTAACTGTATCGATGGTATTACTAATTTTCTAATTCTTAGGTCTCCACGGCTTCTGGTGAATTCAAACTGGTAAATATGCAGATTTATATAACAATACATTTGAAAAACGTATAATGAGAAATATATAATGAGAATAAAATTCTTCGGAGAATGAAATCAAAATTTTTATGTTCTGTTTAGGATTGAAATATAAATGTATTTGCTAATTTGTGGCTAAATTCATTATTCATGAATTATGCTACGTAGCTAAATGATTTCAGGCTTTAACTTTCTACTATTATATATTGCCAATATTACATTTTATGTTCTATAATTATATGTATTGAGATTGCTGGAGTGCTCCCCACCCACCTGATCACGAAGTGATCTTATGATCTTAAAGGGGCACCCATAAAACCAAAAATAACTAACCAAGAAAAATGTATGTTAGTATAAGAGAACAAACAAAAAAAATATATGTATAACGTATGCCTATTCTTTGCCTTTGAATGCTTTAATTTTTTCTTTAATTCTTTTTCTTTTTTATTGTTTTCCATTTTAAAAAGAGCGAAATATTTATTATCTACACATTATGATAATACAAACACTCAAATGATCACTGTTATTTTTTTCTTTAAATCCGCTCTGTTTGTTTATTCTTGCTAATTATTTTATTTCGTATACAAATAATTAAATTGATTACTAAATTATCAATTATCAGATTAATGACTGTCCAATAATCTACCTCAGATTGCTAAGTAGATAATTATAGAGTAGCGTTAAAATAATTATGTAGTATTTATTGTCATATAAATATTCATAGGCATTGCATTTATATAAAAAATTACTAAACTTATACTCCTCTCTTTTAATAACTAGTTTCAAACTTCTTTAATACTGAAGTTCATCTACCCTCACATAGGACTTTAAAAATAATAAACAAGGAGATGGTACTATTTGTAATAGATGTTGACCATGTTATTTCTATACTTATGATAATATCTAAGACAAGTTGCTTTAGGATATGCAAGTTCACTATGATAATGACCTTACTTTATCTACCATTATCATCTTTAAATTTGTAAGTCTGAAATAATTTGAAATTGAATTGGCAAACAAACTGAATTAAATCACCGTTTTTTTTTTTTTTTTTTTTTTTTTTTTTTGTCAGATCGCAGTCTCATAACTGGTAATGAAAGGATAACCAACCCTTAAAACACTCCATATGTTATTCACAAATTGTAGAACTTAAATATGATTTTTCAAGCTCTCTAATTATCTCAGTTAAGCTTGTTAAATTATAATTTAAGTACAAATGAAATGTGTTGTCCAATTAAAATTATACGAGTAATATACCATGAATTGCTAATATAATTATATATTTGACATTTCTCTTCAGAATAAAAAAAATTCTGTATTTCTTTTAATATCATTGGCATTCCCAGAAACTACAGTGGTTCTAACTCTCTTCACCTAAAACGGCAGAAGAAATTGATTTACTTTTTGTCCTGCAAAATAATTTTTAGCCTCTATAATTTCAAATGATCATTATTATTTCTTATTTTACTACTTCTTACAAACTTAACAGTCAACACAAGACAAATATTAAAACGCCACTGCCCCACTGATTTTCAGAAAGATATTCAGTTACATTATACAGAGTCTCAATAACAATTAATGTTATGTACTCAGACTTAAATAAATTGCGAGATATATATATTCCCTTTTGATTGTGTTAGGATCACATGCGTGTTGTGCTCCATATCCAAAGTTAAATGATATAATCTTCTTTATGGAAACGCTCTAATATGTACGTTCTGTATTTTATGAGATGCGTATGATTCACATATTGATGGCATAATTGTTAATAAATGCATCCCAAACTGAACCAAGGTGCAACTAACATCTTACTGAGTAACATTTTACTTCTTTGTGTCGGTAGAATAGGGAAATGAAACTGGACAGGCATCCCTAAATGAGAATTCTTGCAATCTAAATATGTGTTTAAATGTTTTCTTTCTTTCTATAAAACCTTCCTCCTTTCTTTCTACAAAACCCTGCTAAATGTTTTCTTTCTTTTTACAAAACCTTCCTAAATGGTTCTAATTAGACAATAACCTAAAATATCTTATCAGAAATCAAAAATTTTCCTGCAGAAGACAATAGACTGTGAAGAACAAACTTCAAGTGAAATATCTTCATTAATGTGAAATGTGAATGGGACTACTGTTTTAACTCCTTTGATTGTTTCTTCAAATAGAATAAGGCTATCGAGACGTGTAGCCCTCACAAAAGAAAGCATTTAGATAACTCCTTGTCGTGGCTTTCAAAGAAAATTTAAAATATACTTTAAATAATACAATTATTACATTACATTTAATGAAACGTTTTGAAATAATGAAAGAGGGAATGTAAGAAAAGAAATGAACAAAAAGAAACTGAATGGATCAATGAAATGTTATATGTAAAATTTATTACATTTTTTAAATCAACATTATATGTAAAATTTGATTCATTTTCATGTTGTTAAATAAAGTGTATAAAGTATGTTGTTGTTAGATATTTAATTATTTAATTTGCTGGCTCTCTTCATTTCTGTATTGCACTAGCATGATGTATATTACGTGACTGTAGAACGATCCGTTTTTCAGTTTTCTGTGTAAACGAATGGCATTCATACGCAATGTATGGTTATAAATGCATAGATGCATTCAAGGCTTGTAAGGTAACAAATCATATTTTAAATCTTGTTTATTTTTGCTTTCCAGCGTATCCTCGTTCCAGCACAGAGAAGCCAGAGACAGAAGTGCGCGGTAAGAAGTTCATTCATATGTTAAATAAATCTGTATTCACGTCATAAAAATCACTGAGTTGAAAACACCGTTAAACTCGTTGTTGACAGTGGGAAGGCCGTACAAGAGCTTCTCCATTACTTTTTGATGAATGGATTTTCCAGCAACGGTAGAAAGATATCAGCAAAAACAAGCATTGAGGAAAAACACATTTTTAATAATTTTATTGTCCCATGTTCAATTACTTCCCAGCTTACTCCAAATTCACAGAAATAAATATCGCAGCGCATTTCGTTTTTGAATGAATAAAAAAACAATTATGCATTAGAATCCACTATAATGCACCGCATGCACCGCCTGAACAGCTATCATGGGTGGTTTAATGTGAATGAATGCGACGCTAAATCAGAACAACAAAAGCGGCAAGAATAAAGAGTTTGAAGTACCAAATGCATTTCTTGTCACAGAAATATAGATTTTCCTCAGAACGTAAAGGCTAGTATTTAACTCAACACATTTCTTTAACACTGTAAAGTTTTAAAAGGTCAAATTATGGTTAAGAATCTCTAAACATATAAACATAACGAAATGAATGGAATTCCTTACTGTTGGACCATCAAACCATTATTTTAAATATTCACGCCGTCTTACTTGTTTGCTAACCACGCTTCTATTTTCAAACTGTATCATGAAACGTTTTATAGCCTCTTTTAGGAAATCACACAGTATTGCTACGTATGGGATCGAAAATTTTACTTAATTTCACAGAAATAGGTTAGATATCTAGTTTTATTTTCTTTTTCAAAAGTATGGTTTTCAACATCTGAAGAAATGACTCTGTTACTGATGCATTGTTTTAAATGTTCATGGCAACCGGAATGTTTAATTGCTTTAATCTTCATGTAGCAACAGCTGATTTCTGATATTTCTAAAGAATCAATGTTCTTACGAAGTTTTGCTTTGGTTGGATTTGGTTTGATTATGACAAAACAAGTAAAAACGATCTTTGTGATGTTTCGTGTTCCGAGGAAAACTATTTCGTATTCTCATTGCACATAAGGAAAATCATTTACATACAACTAGCTCATTCTATGAGATTTCAATCCGGCCCGAGTAGGTGCACTGAGTTAGGTAAGGATAGAAGAATTTCGGTAATATTAAGATAAACGGATTCGTTATCTGGAAAATGTATCAAGAATGAAGATGACGTGTTGAAAAATATTTCTTAGTTAAAAATACACATCACTGCTTAATTTTTTAAACTTTTTTGGGTTTGTTAAATGAACAGCACTGGTTAAAAATTCATTTTTATATCAAATATATTAGATTCTAGACCTAATATATCTCTAGATTTCTTTTCTCTGAAATAACAAGCTAAAGAAATTTATGAAAATTAATGCATCCTAAGTTCTTTATTTAATTCAGTTTCTCAGTTTTTGAAAAATATAAAATACGTAATGAATATCTTTTGCGATATATGTTTTTGTTATCATTATTTTTATTTAATGCAGGAGTAACAATTAAATGACTTAAGTAAAATTTCAGGACATAAAACTCATTTTTTAAATTTGACCGTCTGAATTTCATCTCTACAGCCGCATTTCTGTTTCTGCAACATATAATTGAGACATATTATTTCCTTTTGAGGAAAAATAACTTCATTTTTAGAATTTACCAATGCTTGTTTTTGCCATTACACTTTTATTGGGGCACAAGACATTACAATATAAATTTATATAGTTTAATGAAATTATATTTATATATAAATTTATCAAAATTTATATGTAATTAAAAATACAGTCGAACTAACTTTAAAATTTGATAAAGAAGCAAGTTCACGACAAAACAAAAACAAATTACTTACTTAATTTTATGAAACAATAAATGAATGGCAAGGCATTATTTAAATAGAAAGCAATTCTAACATTGCAAAATAATTTTATAAAAAATTGTTTTAATTATTCTCCGTCAACTTTAGGTTGTTTCTTGGATGACAAATACTACGATGAAGGTGCTAGAATACCGATGGACCCAATGAAGCCCTGCGAAGTCTGCTATTGTATAAGAAATACTTCAGTGTGTACAACTCAAGAATGCGAATTGAAAGTAGACGGTTGTTTCCCGCAGTATAAAGCTGGCATGTGCTGTCCATCTCGGTATAATTGTAGTAAGTATTGAAATGTTTTCTTCACGTAACTACTGTTAACTGTTAAAGGTTAATCTGTAAATATATAGAATGTATGTCAATTTCAAAGTAAATAAAGAATTATGTGCTGGCAGAATTCGCATGAAAAGAAATGAAAGGTATATTTTCCTTTGGGAATTTTCCTCCTCAAATTCGTTTGGTTTAATAAAATGTTCAAAATTTATTAGAAAGAGTAATAAAATAAAGTGGTTTTGTTGAAGTTAGTTGGAACTTTTGAAGTACCCAAGAAGCTGAAATTTAGAGTGCTGCCATCTGTGGCGTGAATGACAAAATAAAAATCAACTTTAATGGAATGAAGTTGCAGACTGTTTTATTTTGAAAGCTTAGCTTACTAGTATTACAGCATTATTAATCTATCTAGAAGTATGTTTTCCAGAAGACATTCTTGCAATTAATATATATATATTTTTAAATTTTTTCTAACTATATTTGCATTCATATGGTACATATTTAAATTATAGCGTAATCAAAATATCACCATATATAAAAAAATACCGTTTTATTCAAAATTGTGAACAAACTTCAATATATTAACTAACAGTTCTGCATTTCAGCTTTCTCTGAAAACATTTCTACAGGTTTAAGTGGCCTTCTTCTTTCAAAATGTTAAATCATCCACCATTCCGTATTTTATAGAATTGCACCCGATAATCTTTGAGATATGTGTAATAATAATCCTCCTATTAATCAAAGAATCGCATGCTAGAGACTCATGCATAAAAATAATCGTATGCAGTTTTCATAAAACATGTTCTAAACTCCTGTATTCTTTAAATATTAACTACGCTATAATATGTATGCAGCATTTAATATAGCATTTCCTGTACTTGAAAAAAAATTATAGTTATTGCCAAAATATGTAATTTAAAGGAAATGGGAAAAAATCACAATTATTATCCTTTACCCTCTATTATTTAATTAATTGACGATAACATTGCCTCCCAACGGCGGAGTGGTTAATGACTCTGGTAACAACATAAAAACAACAACAAGATTCTAAAAAATGTGAAACGTACCCTAAACAGGTTTGTACAAGTTTTTTTCTTTTTACATGCATTTAACAGGCAATGCTATAACAGCAACATATTTTTTTAATTCCATGCATAATGTATGTAAACAGCAAAGAATTACCATGCTCTCTGGGAATCCTTGAGATGTTTGGCTTTGTAAAATTAAGATTTAAACGCATTATTTATTTTGTATCACGCCGATGAGTTAGCCATAATTAAAAAAAATTATTATTATAAAAAATATTATTATTGAATGCTATAAAGCATTCAATTGGTATTGTTGTATGAATATACGGAAAGAGATTTCGGTAAAAAGTCAGACATAGTAAACAGTTGATGGGCTTTAAAAGTGAAAGTTATCTGAAGGCTATATACTTGTGATTTAGTTTTGAATACTTTAAATTTAAGTTCTCCTTTTATGAAGCAGGGTTAGAAGTTACTAAAACAACTACAAAAGTTACAAAAATATAAGCATAATTTACTAAAACATGCAGCAAAAAATACTTTTAATTTATTGAAAATTATCTAATAACTGTGTAATCATTCAGAACATAGAAATCATTCATATTATAGAAATATTTAGTATAATGATGTTATCAGTTTCAGACAGTTAGCTCAGTATACGGGTAACGCTTGATGACTTAGTCGTTAATGTCTAAATAAAAGTCAAAATTCTAAAATTTAACTAAGTCCAGCTGAAAGCCAAAACTCTAAAATTTAACAATATCTTTTTCGTGATTCGAAAACTTGTTTTGAATTCAATTTCTAATTTATTTTCCTAAAAATATGCATCTACTTCAAATGATATATTTTTTATCGCACTTGCATTACAACGCAGTATAATATTATGATGTTATTTACGTAAGGTTTATTACTGCAACACTTTGTAATATATTTTTCAAATTTTTAATTATCGGAGATAATTTAACTTCAAGAGTATTCATATTCAGTATTCACCATAATTCTCCGAAAAATACCCTCCTAAAACAAAGATGACTAGTGGCCATTTTGAAAAGCAATTATTTTTCTATAAGTTTCCAGGAGAAAATATAAAAATGTCTCTAAATAATTAATGTGCAAATTACAAAGGGAAAATGCATTTTATACGATACTGAAAAAAAATATAATAAAAGTAATTAAAATTAATTTCATGTTCTTGAATTTTCCAATGGCTCTTGCTCTCCTCAGTTACCGGTATCGATTATTTTTATCGAAATGTGTTAGAAGAAGAAAAGTACTTGGAAATATAACACTAAATTCTTTGAGTGAAACTGTAACCGTTATCATATCATGATTCCGGAAAACATAACAAGGTTGAAAGGGAAGGGAAGCTGAAGAAAAGACGAGTTAGATGATATCTCTGTTTCATGACTCTTATCTGTCGATTCCGCTATCTACCATTAGGGCCAAACTGAGCAACCGAACTCGATTATAGACGGTGCAACTAAGGATAATCATTTATTCATTTTCGTATAGCCCTCGGGCCATTCCTCAAAGTTCACTGCTATCTTGACTTCCGCAATTCATCCCTGCAAATCGATAGTCATCGGATTATTATTTCCTACTCCTCCATGCTCTCCTCTCCTTCGCTTTTATGGCATTTTGTTTAAGGTGTAGTCGTTACGATGGAGAAGATGACAGTCCTTTGATCAGTGGATGTGTCTGAAGAAAACTCTCTCCCTGATTTGTGGAAAAGGAGGATGAAAATAGATTTCACTGTTGACTGACTGAAGCTTCATGTTATAAAAAATCCCTTTTTATTTTAAATTTTAGCCATTACTGATATCAGTTTGAATGATTTCTTCCTGTAAATAATGTGGGTAATTCAAAACATGGTAACTGGAAAGTTATGATAGGACTTCTTAAGGAATTCTCTTCCTAATATGATTTATATAATCTTAACTGAAATGCATAGCCATGAGTTCTAATTTTACAGGATTCCAGTTAAGGGTTTCTGTGCGGTTTTGCTTTAAGAGAACGTCTTAAAACTCCAGCGTCTTTACATAAAAATTATTATAAAAATACACAAGAGAGAGATAATAAAGATATTTTATGGCGTTTACGTAAAATACTTCATGATTCAAAACTAATTAAGTTCTTGTTTGAAAATTTCTTTATTCTGTTTAAATTTCAAGCCTTATTTTCAGCAGAGGAAGAATTTCCTCCTCTCTGCTAGAAGTTTTAGCTGCAAATGCAGTTCGGCGGTACATATCGAGAAACTAAGAGCTATGTAAATCGCTCTTAATTTAAACAAAATAAACCCGAACTTTTTATCACAGCTATTTGTTATTATCAGATGTAACGTATTAAAATGCAAAGCTATAGTTTATTTCATTTAAAACTAAAATTAAGTTCTCGTCCAGAACAAAACCATGATTAAACAAAGCTTGCTCTGTTTAAAATGTAGGCACATCTAATCAATTTCTCTAAAATTAAGTTAAGGTTTAATTTCGCTGCGGGTTTCCTGTTCGAATTCAATTTTATTTATTCAAATCATGTCCTTCACGATTCCTCAATGACTTCTTGCGGGATTTTAGGGCTTTGCTTGACAAACTAATAATGGCGTAGAGAACTGAATGAGTGTGATGTTAAAATACCCTAGAATTTTGCGGAACTATGATGCAACAAAAGCAGAAAAAATGTACTTAATATTGAGCTACGAAATGATTTTTCAGTAATTATGCATAAATATTGGAATTCAAAATTTTCTTCCCCAAGTTCTTATATTTTTCATTTTCTCACACTCTTTATATTTGACAGCAAAACCCTAGTGCATGTTTTTTTTTTTTTTTTTTTTTTTTTGAAAATTAATTAATTTTGAGTGTTTTAATAAAATATAATATCAGTTTCTGAAAATATGACAATAAAAAATATAGGTAAATAAATATGCTTGCTTGCAATATTTATTTATTTGAAATTATTTTTAATGATAATTAATTTGAACAATCTTATTTTATATCACAGTTAACGGACACCTTGTTTTTCTATTGTTTGTATATAAATATTTAAATTATAAATGCTGATCTCAGACTCGAGGAATTATCCCGTGTTTCGGTTTCATTCTTCACGCTTTCTCATGGGTTATGGAAAATAAAAAGTTAAGTGAAACGTTTATGATTATCTAAATCATAAACATTTGGCACGAGTCATATGACGGAAAGTCATATTGCGGAAACCTTCTATAACACTTAGTTCGTAATATTTGATACAGCAGAAAATATAATACACCAAAGTATTTGTAAGTAGTCAATGAATCAAAGGTACAAAATATAACCCACTGTCTCTGACTAATCAAAGAACGTACCTTTCAAGTGTCGATGGGAAGTTATGTACGTGCCATGGTCGCAAAAGATAACGAGGAATCAGGGCTCGATTCTGGAGCGGGAGACTCAGAAACGGTTACCACATTCAGGAAAGCAGCAGACGTGCAATTTACCCACTCCTAGAGTGGGGACGTAACGGAAAATATATTAACTCCTTGAACTCTTTTGAGAGTTTATAAGTGGAATGCGTGGGCTGTAAATCCTTGATCAAGAATCAGTTGAAGTGCAGTCAGACAGGCATAGTAATTCCTAATACAATAACGTATATTAAAATTGTTGCGGTTAAGGTATGAAGCATGTGTCTATCCATGATTAATTAACTAACCAGATCCTAACAAGCGTAACCAGTGAGCATAATCACATAACTAACAAAATAAAAAAACAATATGTATTAAGAATATTAAGATCGATATAGTAAAAATAAATTAAGATATATTAAGGATTAAGATGTATTAAACATAAATTGATTTTATTCGCTTCATTTGCAGTTCCGTTGTTATAATCATTTGTAACTGTTCATAATTACTCCTCTAGAGAATGATTATTTCCTCTAGTTTGATTTTTAATACTCAGGCACAGTCTAACGCTTTCCTAGGAAGACATCTAGTCTATACTATACTCAAATATAAATCTGCCTATAATTATATTATTAAAACTTCTATATTAAATGTTCTTTTCATTAAGCATAAAATAAGTATCCGTAACTAATTAAAAATGACTTTCAAAGTACGTATCTTATCAATATACAGATAGAATATAGGCATATACTGCACCGCCCATTTTAAGTAATTTTTGCAGTTTTAACCCATAATATAAGAGTTCTATAATTTAAAAAATAGGAATCTTATCCGGATAAATGATTTTGAACTCATTTTAAACGATTAAGTTTGAAAGTAAAGCTTTTTCCCCATATAAAAGTAATTTTCTTCCCCAAGTTCTTATATTTTTCATTTTCTTCTAGCTGAAGATGCTGCTACCACAATCCCACCAGGAGTCATGGAACCCGAAGAGTACGAAGGTATTTAAAAATTTCCTTAAATATGATATTTCAAGGATTCTTATTCCCGTAGAAGGAAATGAATACAGCAGAATGTTAAACAGAAATGGAAACTTATGTGGTTATCCGGAACAAATACAGATGTCTTAATGAATTTATACCACAAATTTAAATAGTATACTACATATAAAGAAAGTCTGAAAACACTTAACATTCTGTAAATGTTAACATTGATCAGCTGAGGGCATCCACGTCACCTATGTTTTTTCTTTTCGACTTTTTTAATATAAGATAATGCTTTTAAAATCAAAATATAGACCTCCGTAAGGTCATAAAGTACTTTATAACTTTTTCATTTAATGTGGGATTTATTTTTAGGTTTAAAAATGTACCAATAAGCTTGTATTAATCTAGAGCAGCGGTTTTCAACCTTTTGAGTATATCCTATACACAATTGAAAAACTTTAGTATCACCACTACATTTTACAATGATTATTTTTCAATAGAAATATTAAAAAAAGATATATTTGCCATTTGCAAAACCTATTGGCTATTTGTATTTAATATACACGCATAAAAATATTAGATTAAAAATTGGTTACCATTTTAATTATCAAAATTTAAATTATAACACTTTAATTCTAAAATTTAGTGTGAAATTTGAGCCTGTTTAAGCGGGATCATTTCTTTATGTCTGGTCTTATTTCACTTAGCTTTAACTGTAAATTAGGATCCTTTTTAAATTTTGTTCTGTATATATTTTTCAAATATAACATGGAAGAAAATCCTTGTTCACACAAATAGGTTGTGCAAAAAGGCAATAAAAATTTGATAGCTTCATTTGAAAGGTCATTAATTTTTTTTGGGGGGGAGGGGATTAAGCCAAAAGCAAACAAGTGTCGATCACAAGAAATTTATATCAATGGTTCTATTTCTTCAGGAGATTTTTTAATTTAATCGTTAAAAATACTTTGTTTCTTTGCGTACCACATTTTTCACTTACTTACCACCACCGGTTGAGAATCGCTGATATATAGCATATCTTATTCTTTAAATGAAGGACAATAATAAAAATATTTAACATTACATTACATTGCTACATTTTTATTACTTTTATTACACACATTTAGAACGAATTTTACTATATGTTAGAATTTCATTCGCACATTTAGAAAGAAATAAGCATGGTATATGGCATTAAGAGGACAATTGCATTAGAATGCTGAATTTCGTTTAAAATTAACTTTATACTTTTTCTTTTGTTTCACAAAATTCCATTTTTAAAGCACTGTAAAGCAGAATATTATGCTCTTCATTTGCTTCTTAGATGCAGAACAATAACATGCCTTAATAAATTTAATTAATTTAATTTTACGTTCTTTAAAGCTGAGACAATCATAACGTTTTATTTTTTAAGGAATTTTTACTTTTGCCAGGGAAGAAATTCCATATCTAGTTTTGGCGTTGTTTGTAAGCATCACAAACTAAGCATCTCTAAACAAGTCGTAACTAAAGCGCATAGATGTTCCGTCCTGTCTTTGATTGCATCGAGCTGGAGTTTAAGACCAAGAATACGTAACTTTATTTAAATATTATTTTAACGGCACAAATTTTTTCTGCGCACATTTTCTAAGTAAAGCAAATATATTCCCAAATAGGTACATACTGTATCTCTGTGGACTTTTAGTTGAATATCTTTTTGGTTAAAAAAAGCAATCGTCAGCTAGTTGCTGGGACACGATTTGTGTCTATGCATAGAATAAATGTAAGAATATTTCAAGATCTCCAAGATTTTAGAAATGTATCATGTGGAACAATATTATGAAAAAAGAGAACAAAGATTGCAGAAGAGAATCATCTGGAACACTAAAAGAAATAATTAAATAAGCAGCAGAACCATAAAAGAGGTCAATCTGCATCATAAAGTAATAATACATTAGTATTCCGCATCGCTAACACGCACTTGAACCTCAAAATACCACTTCCAAAAGAAACTAACTTTACGCCATTTGACCGGCATTATGAGCTGCTGATGAATTTCGTCACACTCTAAACGTGAAACTAACTTCATTTTACTTTCTGTTTTAATGGCTCGTACATACAAAGTGTCTATGTGAAAAACAATGAGCAAAGTATCAGTTAAATAAACATATTTCATCAGTATTAATGAAAATTGGTAAGAGATCTAATCCCGATAAGAGATCCATTTAGAAGCATCTGAAGTACAGGGAGATCATTCTACGAAATTTTCCGAATTTAGATCAGGCTCAGAAATGGATTAAATTATTCCCATAGTACCTATGGGAAATAGCGTCCCGTACAACAAAAGCCAGCATGAAATGGGTTATATTCGTTAGACGAGGCATCCTGTAATCCTTTAGAATTATTAGAAATTTAAAAAGTAATTTTCAAAATCAGTATTATATATATAAATGCAGTTTACAGCGTTTTTCCTTTTTTCAATTATATAGTATTTATTTTCATACAAAGTTAAAAATCAGTTTCAAAATTAATCATCAGCTTAAAATTAAATCATGACATTTATCTTGTTATTTTTAATTTAAAGATGATATTTTTTTTAAAAAATAGGATGCAAAGTTGGTGGAGTTCTTTACAAAGATGGGGAACAAGTACCATCCTTAGATGAGTGTGAGAACTGTTACTGCATGAAACATGAAGTTGTTTGTGCTGTACAAGAATGTAAAGCTCCAGCAGATAACTGCGTGCCACAAGCTACACCTGAAGGACAGTGCTGTCCAGATAAATATGACTGTCGTAAGTAAAGAGGAGTTTTGGATATTATGAAAAAATTATATTTAGAAATAAGTGATACAGTAAGACCCCGCTTAACGCGGGATATACGTTCCATCAAAGTAGCGCGTAATATGAAATAGCGTTAAACGAGGTTATCTCATCATGTAAATAATGGGATTAGGAGAAGATGGGTAGAAAATGGGTCAGGTATTTTACCATTAAATTTATTAATTATGTTTTTTATAACAAAAAAATTATTCCTTACAAATATAGAAACATAATAAAGGAATATAAATATAAAAATAAATAAAATTTGAAGTCAATATGTTTACATTTCAGTATCTAATCTAATCACTTACATTTCAGTTTCTAGTAAAATGCTTTTTCATGTTGCTTTATTTTCGTTTTTTTTTATTATCACCCATGATATAACCTAAAAATCATATTTGTCACTATATCAATCGTTATATTATATAAATTTATACTTACAATAACGTCAACAAATGTCTGAAACGATAAAAATACGTTCGTATAACACCACAGGAAAGAAGACAGATAAACTGCTTCGGATATCGGGAAGCCTAACACTGCGTGCAATTTCGGGGAATCCCACAATTCAAATAAAAGAGCGTTACAGCGTTAAGTGGGCCTTACTGTACTTTAAAATTGTAAGAAGACAAGAAATTGCTTATAAAAGCTAGAATGTTACACAAACACACACACACACACACACACAAAAAAAAAAAAAAAAAAAAAAATTGAAAACCACGTTATTAGTTGAAATCTTAAAATTATGAAAAGAAAATTGTTTATTTTGCTACAAATGAAGTAAATCACACACTGGAAAAGTAAATTAAAAAATTCCCTTGTTTAATTTATTTTATATATTTGCCTAAAGCAAGTAAATTAATTGAGCAGAGGTTTGCTTCACAATATTTTTACCATTTCTGTCCTTAGCATTAATTGGTGAAGTATACTTCTTCTGTTTACTATCCCACTAGGAATTAATACCATATAAAAATAAAGTGATTCCGTATTTACCTTGAAGACAGACTAGAGGTCATTGGGGAGGGATCCTGCAACTATAAAACCGCTGTAAGAAAGGCTATGCACTCAACACTGCTATCAGGCTTTGTTTCCTAAAGATAATTCTGGTGCTCAGTGAATTGAGATTAAATTAACCCTAGGTCATCAAATCTTAGTTTTCTTGCATGAAATTAGTTTTCTTGCATGAAATTACGTAGAATTTATTTTGCTGAAAGCCAAGAAAAACTTACTTACTTTTGTATCCATTATATCTAAACAAAAGTATACAAACTCCTGCTTGTAAATTTGTTTGGTTGAGAAAAGTTTTTATAAGACAAGTGAATGGGTGAAAAACTGTTTACTCCGCTTAAACATTATACATGACTTTAAACTAATTAATTTACTGACTTTCAACTAATGAACTGACTTTAATAAACAGGATACTTTAAACTTTCCTTTCAAGTGGCATTACCAGCCCTGCATACATTTGAAAAGTATTATTTTACCTTTACTTTTAAAACATCTATCTGCTGAGAGAAATTTTGGTTTTTTAGAATTTCTGAATAATGAAACATTTTCGCATCTGAAAGGTATAGAGGTTTTCTTAAAGAAAGATCTTTCGTAAAGTAAGCTACTGTTTTCTTTTCATTGTTAGCCTTCTTGGGATAAAGCAGGTACCTTCTCACAATAAAGTACTTTAAAGAACACTGTAGTTTTTAAAACTATGAGTAATGCTTCCAGAAGAACTTCCTATAGCAGATAGTCTTATATTTACATTACGAACAAGAAAAGTAAAAAATCCTCTTAGATACGACGCTTTCAACTATCATGAATCATAACCGAGATAGTCTCCAGGAAGTAATGGACTTACCGCATAATAGCCAATGAGTTTCGTAACTGAAAATATATGGTTTAGAATATATTCCATCTACAAAATATACATTGCATATACAAAAATAATACACTATTACATTTCAATAATATTTTGTTTTGTTATTATTTAGCTTCTGGAACGGAAATTCCAGAATGGGCTACAACACATATGGTAGCAACCGAAGACTTGCTGAGAAATGTAACGACACCCGTAGACCTGGAACACAAATTCACCTCTACTGCTGGACTCACCACTCCTGCTATCAAAATCCAAGATCATACATTGTTTACGGAAAGAGATTTGGACACACAGACTCTCAGTGTCGTTCTTTCCACTATATCCGATGCCAAGACGATTACTGCAGAGTCAGCCAAAAGAGTGGAAGATGCGGCTGCTGAAACGACAACTGCTGAAGTTACTTCACTGTCAGAACTGTTTACGGAAACAGTTATTACTGAAAATGCCACGCTTCATCCCGCAGACTTTGTGTCCAGACTAAGAGAACCCAAAATAACAGAAGTACCTGATGAGATGTTCAGTTCTGTTACCATAGCAAATGCCACTACAGGTCGACCAATCTTCTACAGACCAGGAATACCTGGCGAAGGTAAGAAGTTAAATATAACATTTTTTTTCCATGTGTAACACTTAAAAGCACTAAATGAAACTGAATACATACTCACATCTAAATAATGTTTTATAAAATAAAATTATGCAGCACAATAATTATCATCGAATTAGATTTTTAAATTTTTATATAATTCATGCATAAATTAGGATCATGATAAATTTTCAGGAAAAAAGATTTATTTGAAATCAAAGATTTAAAGCTCAAAATACAGGCCTCATAAGAAAAGTATAGAAATTATTTCCGCAGGATATAAAAATAAATTTTTACTTTAGATAAAGTTATAAAATTCCTCAAACTTAAAATTTTAATATGACGTATTAATGCACAAACCAGTTAGTTGAAAGTTAAAAAAAGTGATTTTTTACTAAACCTTTATCTGTCAGGTTTAGTTGCGTTTAGTATTTTGCCTTTATATGCCTGTTATATTACCAATAATTTAAACCAAAAGTAAAATTATTAAGAAAAGTTAAGAGATTACATACTTTTTTCGGATGTTCTCATTTGAGACCACCCACGTGAGCTGGCTCCCATTTACTTTTCTTTGTAATGTTTATACAAAACTTTCACTAATGTTTCTACATTAGTATACATTTAGAACACTCATAAACAGTCTTTCTATTATTATTGAGTAAACTTTCAATAATTTTATTTGGACATTATTTTTCTTTGGTGCAATCCTCATTACAAAATTTAGCACAAATCAAAGAAGTCCAAACTTACCCTTCTTATTTATTACCCATTGTAATAAAAAAAAGTTAACATTTCGTTGAAATAAATTATTTTTAAAATCAAGGTTACTTAGAAAATGTTACAAGTGAGTAATAGTATAAAATTTTAAGCACAAATAATTTAAATGATTATCATAAAATTATTTCCATCTAAAACTACTGTTGATAATAAACTGTTTATACTCTAAGAATGGGAAAAGTAAATAAAATTTAATCTGAAAAGCATTCCGTTGCAGCTAGTGTAACTCAATTAAGTTCATAAGCAGTGTTCATATAATTAAAGGAAATTTTAAAAAAAATAATTTTATTGGGACACTTTTAAATTTAAAAATTTATCATTTTTACTTTATTTAGCTTCGAGGCTCATATATCTCTTTTTTTTTCCTTTATTGGAAATTTGGTGACATATTTTACCAATTATTTTCCTTCATATAATTATTTCACACTTGATGTACCGAATCAGTTCGGTTGCAATATATTTACTAAATTACTAAAACTCTGTGTTACTTATATTATGATGGAAATTATTTTTCAGCTCTGACGTCCTGATTAATGCCTTTGTTTTTTTTTTTTCGAGAATAGCATATGGGAATATTATAATAATGAAATTTTACTTTCACAGGTATATGCCGTCAGAATGACGTTATTTATCAGAATAGAGAGGAAGTTCCATCTATAGATCCTTGCAGGCTAAACTGCAGGTGTGTGAACAGTGTAATAAAATGCGACCATGTAGAATGCATGTTATCACCACCAGGTACTAACTGCAAAGTGACAAGAGATCCAGAGGAATGCTGTCCGAAATACGTTTGTGGTATGTCCATCGCCAAGTCATTTATTTCTGATGCATTTGTGATTTAATTTATCTTTCAGGAATAACGTTTAATTGATAGCAAAGGGCTTAGGTGTTAGCGTATTTGCAATGCAATAAAAGTAAATAAATTTTGCATTACTTTGCTCGCAAGAATGACTTTTATCAAACTGGCATGTAATATTTAGCATTAGATTAAAAACTTTTCCATATGGGTTGGAGCTTCAATCCTGGCAACCACTTCTGTATTACACCATGAAAGGCAATTATTTCTTGTCATTTCTGTTGCGCGTTAATTGGATGTTTAACCTCTGTTATCTTATCTCATCAACGTTACTTGTATGTGCCATGACCAGCAGAATAGTTTCTCGCGTGAATAGTTTCTCTCAAAGAAGCTATGAAATTCTATCAACCCGAATTTAAGGCTTTCTAATTATGATTTAACTTCTAATATGGAAGAATCATTTCGTACATATGTTTCTAGGCTGTTTCAAAGATTATTTAAACAGTAGATTGATCTATTTCAACACAGCAGGCATTGCTAAGATATATTGTGAGTTCACATCGCTGGCAATACTACATTCTTGTCGACTACATCAACGGGCAGTAAAAGTTTCATGGACGTCTATTGTGGGTCAAGTGTAAATAATTATATGCCACTATTAAAATGTTCCAAACTTCTTACTTTGCAAGCAGGGATTTGTTTATGTTATCAACAACTAGCACAAAATTTGAAGTATTCGAAATATCCTTTTAAATAGTACCCCTTGATATCATTTGTTTTCATGGGGATCAAATTTTAAAAAAATATTGTTACAACAAAATGCAGCATGAGGATTTTCTTTAGATTGTAGCTGCAAGCGAAAACTTGTTCGCTACTACGTAAATGTAGATATTTCCTACTAATTAAGCCATATCGTTAAGAAATTATTTTTAGAGTTTATTCGTAGGTTATGAGAACTTTGTTGAATATATTTTAGAGCTTATCATTTATAATTAAACATTCGACATTATGCATGGAACTAACGTCAATTTCCTTTTAAAATAAAGTTTTTTAAAGCATTTCGAAAACTAATTAACAGAGAAAATATTTATCTTACACTATGCTCTAACTGCATTCTGTATACTAGTCATCTTTTAAATTGTATGAAGACAAATAGTTTTCTCGTTAACCAAGATTAATTGAATTTTCGGTTATAAAATAACTGAATACTATAGCGACAAAATTCGATCTGAGAGACAGTTTATTTTCCTTTCAGTGGCTAAAATGTTTCAAATATTTTTTCTTCACAAATACTGATTTATCTGGTGAATACTGTGTTTACCGAAAGAGTTCCATTAATTTTAGCGTTCTTTTAACAATACCCTGTGTGTAATAGATTAACTTTAAATGTTTGATCTTAATACAAACTATTCAAAGGTAACGCTGAATGCTGCATCCCATATATGAACTCTTTATGAGATGTAGAAAAATTAATTAGCAACGATATGAAAATTCGTAGTTTCAATTACTGAGTATTATTATTTCTTGTCGAATTGCTCTTTTCACTATGTGTTTGATTTCTTGTGAAATATATTCCATTAAAACACTTTTCTTCAGTGCATATTGTATTCGCGTGAAAACATAATAGAATATTTTAGAAGATATATTCTAAATCTGAAATTGTTTTAAACAAATTACTCGCAAATGTGATGAAAAGGTAGAAGTTTCGAGACAAATTTATTATAAATCACACATTATCAGTTTTTAAAATTTTACTTTTCATTTGTCATTACAATTTATGTTCGTCATAACGACCACTTGTTATAGTGATAATTCAATTACAACGATAAGCTCAATAATTAACGATCGTTACAACGAGCAACGAAAACTCTTCAGCTGATTAGAGCGTATCAAATGTTGTTGCAGCGATCACGGGTTATAACTTCCTTTTTGTGTAAGATCTTTATAACGAAAATCAGTTCCTAATTTGTACTGTGTATAATGTTGCAATAAAATCCATGCAAAATTCCCGTAAGACATGCATTTATTTAACATTCAAGAATTCTCTCGACTATAACATTAGAAATGTTTCAGTGCATATTTTATGCAGAAATAGAAAATTCAAATAAATCCTTATTATTTGTTTTAAAAATCTCCTAATATCTAATATTAAAATTTTATTTCCAGATACACCAGCTGATATAACTACTGCAAGTGATCAATTTACTCACATACCTACAGTAATTCAGCAAGAACAAGAACAAATAACTATTTCTGATGTACTTAAAGCCGCTGATAAAGGAAAGACAACGATCACGGAGAAGGCAGTTACTTCGAAGCAAGAACAAGAGGAAATAACATTTAAAGAAGAGAGCATCACAGAATCTGCGATTAAATTTACAACACTTTCTTCAAGTATATCTAGTCCGACCAAAGAAACGAGCCAGAAAGAAGTCGGAGAAGTGGATTTTACGCCAACTGTTATGTCATTCACTTCGACAGAAAGTAAAACTGAAGTTTCCGAAGCTAAAATTGCAACTGTGGTGTCCGAAGTTCCAGTAATGACGGGTGTTAAATCAACAGAATCAACCGAAGCCTCTAAATTTACAGACATAGAAAAGCCATCAAAAGCTACTGAATCCGTTGAAATAGTTACACTTGAAGATGGTAATGTAGTGACAGGAATGAAAGAAGAGACGACAGTTGCTTCCACGGTGAGATTCTCAACAGCAACTCCTTCAACTCTTACAGAATCTCCAAAGACTTCTATAATAATCAAAGAAGAAGAAATAGTTACACCGACAGCTATTAGTTTAACGACAACGTTAAAGGAAAGCTCAGAAGGTATATTTATTGAAGCAACTTCACGACCATCGGAAGAATTAGCTACTGACAGCGAAATCGAAATTAAAGCTGATGGAGCAAAAGCAACTTCAGTTGCAGAGGATATTACATCAATGAAGTCAACTACTGAAGAAGCTGTGACATCCAAGAGCACAGTTGAAATTACAGGAGTTGTGCAAGAAAACGGGACTGAAAGAACACAGAGTTTGGAAATTGAAATGTCAACTGCAGTAACCTCCCAGACAATCAGATACACAGAATCTGCATCAGGATTAACGGTCAAAGATGCAGGACCGTCAGAAGTTACAAAACTTGTCAGTGAAGGAATGACCACTAAACCCAAGGAGGTCGAATCGGTTACTCAACAAACTGCCAAAGAACATGCTTTTGAGGAATCTACATCAAAGTCAATAACTGAAACAGTAAAAACTTCAGATATCACTATTGAAGAGAAAGAGAAAGTTGGCATCGAAAGTGCTACAGTTGAAACTTTGGCTGCACAAACTACAGAAGGTCCTGCCGGATTTGATTCCACTCCTAAATTAGCAACGGAAATGTCAACAGTTGAAAATATATCAGAATCTGTCAGTGAAGAACTCAAAACTGAAAAGATGAAAGTTGAGGGTTTAACTTCAGAAACTTTAAAAGACCATGCTATTACAGAATTAGCTTCTAAATTAACAACTGTAGAAATTGAACCCACAACAGAAGTAACACAAGCTATCAGCGAAGAATTAAGTACTGAAATTGTGAGCATTCAGTCGTTAGCGCCCCAAACTGCTAAAGACACTGCAATCACAGGATCTACGCCTAAAACGACTAGAGAAACTTCCGTGTCTGTAGAAGAAATCACTAAAACTATCACAGACAGCGTAAGCACTGAGAAGGTGGACACTGAAACGTTATTAGCAGAAGCCACTACAGTTTTAGAATCTGCGCCTAAAGATGTAACACAAGTTACACCATCGGAAGGAACATCGAAAGCTATTAGTGATGAATTAAGCACCGAAGATGTGAAGGCGGTAGCATCAGATTCGCAAATTGCTAATGGATCAGAAACTGAAAAATCAAAATCAACAACTAAATTAGAAGAAATTTCAGACAAAATAATAAAAGATAAAGGTGAAGTCAGCACTGAAAGTGCTTTGATTATACAAGATGCAAAAGCCCCATCTCTATTTGATCATACACTTAAATCAACAACAGCTATTCCAACAGCTTCAGAAGGGATAACAGAATCTGTTAGTGTAAAACTCAGTACTGAAAAGATGAAAGATGAAGTACTGACTTCAGAAACTTCGGTTACAGAATCAGCATCTGAATTAACAATAGCAGAGGAAAAATCTACGAAACAAGTAACGCAAACTATAAGAGAAGAATTAAGTACTGAAATTATGGAAGTTCAGTCATTAGCACCCGAGATTGCCAAAGAAATTTCTGCGCCGAATGTAACCATACAAGCTGAAGTATCACCAGAAGAAGTTACAAACGTTGTCACAGAAAGGGTAAGCACTGAAAGTGTGGTGGCCAAAACATCAGATGCACGAGCTATAGAAACTACTTCAGTCATAGGTTATACATCCGAATTTAAAACAGAAAGTACACAACCATCTGAAAAGACAACAAAACCTATTATCGAGGAATTCAGCCCGGAAGGATTGAAGATTGAAGCAGTTACTTCACAAACTACCAAAGAACCTGAAACTTTAGAATTAACATCTAAATTAAGTACAGAAAAAATAATACCTTCAATAGAAACAACAAAGGTTACTAGCAGTGAAGTTATTACGGAGATTACACAGGCTGGAACAATAGTTGCTGAACTGACAACAGTACCCACAATTTTTAGTTCCACATCTAAAATATTGACAACCGACGCAGTATCACATGAAACAACTATCAAAGTTACAGAGAAACTAAGCCTTGAAACATTAGAACCTGAATCAATCGTTCCCGAAACTGCTACAGAATTAGAGATTATGAGTTCTACTCCTAAATCAACAGCTGAGATGATATCAGAAGAAGCAACAAAATCTATAAGCGAAAGTACGGAAAGCGTGAAAATTGAATTATTTACTTCACAAGCTGCAAAAGAGCCTGGAAGTTTAGAATCTGATTTGAAATCAACAATAGGAGGAGAATCTACAGAGAAAACAACGAAAATTACCACCAAGAAAACAAGCACAGAAATTTCTGAAGATGAAACAATTCCTCTTCCAACTACGAAAGAGCATGTGTTTGTTAAATCCATAACAACAGAAGCGGCTTCGCCTGCTAGAGAAACAACAAAATCAGTTAGTCAAGAAGAAAGCACTGACTTTGCAGACACTGAAGCTACTATTCCTATCAACCTTGACTCTACATTTAAACTAACAACTGGAGATGTAACATCTTCAGACGAAGCTCCGGAAGCTGTTAGTAAAGACACAGACACTGAAAGTGCGTACATGGAATCATTCACTACCAGAGTAACCAAAGAACCTGCTACGTCAAAATTAACAACTGAAGAAGCAGAATCTACAAAAGAACCAACAAAAGTTGTTAGTACAGAAACTATTGAAGCTAAAATAGTTACTCCACAAACTAGCAAAGAATCTGTTTCTAAATTAGCAACTAAGATGACTACGGAATCAACTGAAACTGTAAGAGAAATAACGAAAGCTGAAAGTGAAGAAACAAGTAGTCACAGTGCAGATATTGAAACACTGGAAGCGGAAACTACTGAAATGCCAAAAATTCTTGACTTTACATCTGAATTAACAACTGACACTGCAGAATCTTTAGAAGAAGGAACGAAAGCTGTTAGTCTGGATTTAGAGGCTAAACCATTTACTTTACATTCTACCCAAGATACTGCTATTATAGAGACTACGTCGGAATTAGCACCGAAAGAAACAGAATCTTCAAAAGAATCAACAAGTTTTGTTAGTGAAGTAGTAAGCGAAAAGGTTTCCGATACTGAGTCAGTCGTTCCTCAAACTGCCAAGAAAACTACAGTTTTTGAAATGACAACTAAATTAACAACAAAAGCAGCTGAACCTTTAGGACAAACAACACAATTTGTAAGTGAAGAAGCAAGCACTTTCAGTGTGGGTACTGAAATTAAGGAAAGTGAAACTACTGAAGTTCCCTCACTTCTTGATTATACATCTAAATTGGCAACTCAAACAATAGAATCTTCAAAAGAAGTGACGAAACCTCTCATTACTATCGAAGGATTTGAATCATCTACTGAGCATGCCGTTACGGAATTAACATCGAGATTAACAACCGAACAAAAAACACCTACACAAGAAACAACAAAAATTACCGAAGATGTAAGCACGAGAACGCTTTCACCTCAAACTATCACAGCTGTTGCAACATCAGCTATAGTAACAACAGAAAAATCTTCGTCTATGGCAATAACATCAAAAGATATAAGTGAAGAAATAAGCACTGTCAGTGCGGATACTGAAATGAAAGTTGCTGAAACAACTAAGCCTACTGTGCTAGATATATCATCTAAATTGACAATCGAAGAAACAGAACTTTCAGAAGGTACGACATATTTTAGTAAAGATCTTATTACCGAAAGTTTTGAGACTGAATCAGTTACTCCTCAAACTAAAGAATCCACTGTTACAGAAATTACATCAAAATTAACAACTGACGAATCAACAAACGAAGCTGATGGAATAATCACGAAAATAAGTGAAGATACATCACTTGCCTCTCAAACTGTCAAGGAACCAATAGTTATTGAATCTACAGTTAAATTAACAACTGAAGCGGACGTACATTTAGAAGAAACAACGAAGTCCATGAAAGAGGATGGAAGAACTGTCAGTGTGGTTACAGAAACAGTAAAAGCTGAAGCTACTAAAGCTCCCGTAATCGAAGACGCTACATCTAAATTAGTAACCGAGAAAGCAAAATCACCAGAAGAATTAACGGAAAGTGATAGCAAAGATCTAATCACAGACAGTATGGTTGTTGATTCATTTACTACTCAAACTTCCAGAAAACCTTCAATTGTAGAACTTACATCGAAAGTGACTATCGACGAAGCAAAATCTACCACAGAAGCGGCAGAACTGGTTAGTGGAGAAGTACGTACAAAAACTCTCACAGCTGAATCAGTTGCTCCACAGACTGCCAAAGAGGCTATAGCTGTTGAATCAACAACCAAATTAACCACCGAAAAGGCTACAGGTTTCGGAGAAACAACAAAAGTTGTTACCGAAGAACCAAGCACTCTAGTCTCTGAAATATTGAAAACCGAAGCTACAAAATCATCTGCAGTCTTTGAGTCTACTTTTAAATTGACAACAAAACTAGTACCATCTTCAGAAGAGGCAACACAAGTCATTAGTACAGATTTAAGTCCAGAAGCTATCGAGACTCAGTCATTTACTCCCAAAACAACCGAAGTACCTATTATTGTTGAATCTACCTCGAAAGTAACAGTTCAAAAAACGGAAGTTACGGAAGAAACAATAAAACATATTAGTGAAGAAGTAAGTACTGAAACTGCAAAAACTGAAACAATTGTACCGCATACTGCCAAAGAACCTGAGCATGTTGAATCCACAACTAAATTAGCAACAGAAGTGGCTGCACCTTTAGGAGGAGAAACAAAATCTGAAGAGGTAGCTACTTCTAGTGTAGATATTGAAATATTACATACTGAAGCTACTAAACCTCCTAGTTTTGACATTGCATCTAAATTAGGAACTGAAAAAACAGAACCTTCCGAAAGTACAACAGAACTTTCTAGCAAACATATAAGCACCGAAACTGCGGAATTTGAACTGTCTACATCAAAAGCTTCTGAACAACCTGTTGTTGTGGAGTCTACGACGAAATTAACCATTGAAGAAACAGAATCTTTAGAAAGCAAAACAGAAACTTCTAGCAAAGATATAACTACCCAAACTTCAGAATTCGAATCTGCTACTGTGAAATCTACAACAAAACTAACATTAAAAGAAGCAGAACCTACAAAAGAATCAACACAAATTATTAGCTTAGATGTAAGTGCAGAAACTATTGAAGCTGAATCGATTGCTCCACAAACTACTAAGAAACCTTCGGTTTCAAAATCAACAACCAAGTTCACAACGGAATCGTCTGCAGCTGTAACGGAAACAACGAAAGTTATTAGTGAGGAAACAAGCATACACAGTGTGGATATTGAAACAAAGGAAGCTGAAGCGACTAAACCACCTGAAAAATCGATTGAAGAACCAGCAGCAGTGGCAAGCGTAGATGTGACTTACACAACATCCAAAACTAAGTCTATTATTTCTCAAACATCCAAAGAACCTCTTACTGTTGAATCCACGGTTAAGTTAACTACAGAAGTTAGCTCTCTTGCAGCAGAAACGACAAAATCCGTTTCAGAAGAAGAAAGCTCTTCCAGTGTGCTAGAAACAGAAGCTACTAAAGCTCCAGAAATCCTTGAATTTACATCTACTTTAACATCTAAAGAAATAAAATCTTCAGAGCTAACGAAAGCAGTTAGCGAAGACATAAGTACCGAAAGTGTAATTACTGAATCATTCCGTCCACAGACTGGCAGTGAATCTGTTACTATGAAAACAACCTCAGAATTAATAATCCAAGACGTAAAATCTACAACAGAAACATCAAAGACCGTTAGTGAAGAACTAAGCATAAAATCTCTTGAAGATGAAACAATTGTCCCACAAACTTCAACTGTTGAAGTCACAAGCAAACCAACAACGAATGCCATTGGCTTTTCGGGCAAAGAGACATCAGCTACTCACACAATGAAAACATCTGCAATTACAGAATCTATATCTGAATTAACAACAGAAGCTACAGTGTTACCGAAAGAAATAATAAAAGATATTGGTGATGATGCTATAAGCACTGAAAGCGAGATAGTTGGAACATTCCTTTCAGAAACTACAAAAGCACCTACCATTTCTGAATTTGATGCAGAAGAACCAAGCACAGAGAGTGTGGGAGCTCAATTCCTTGCTTCAAGAACTACTAAAAAACCCACATTTGTACAAGATATATCTAAATTAACTACGGAAGCCGCTGAATCTGTAACCATAACATCTACAAGTGTTGAATCTTCATCTCACTTAACGTCAGAAGTGAAAGCGGAAGGCCCTGAAATTATTTCATCAACATTTAAACCATCCTCCAAAAAAGCAACTGTGGTACCTTTAGAAGAAACAAGATCTGTCAGTGAAATGACAAGCACAGATGCTGTGGATATTAAATCAATTACACAAAGTACTTCTGAAGAGCCTACGTCTGTATTAACAAGACTAGATGAGGCTTCAGGAGAAACAACTAGAGCCGTTGTGGAAGACATAACTCATGAATTAAGAACAGCCACAACCAAACTTTCAGAAGAAATATATACGCATGAAGCAGAAGTTAAATTAACTACTTTCCGTCCTGCCGATACGGAAGAGACAACTAAGCCTGAAATTAAAATAATAACTGAATTACCAGTAACACCTGATGAAGAAACTTGGAAATCTGAAATTAAAAATCAAACTAAAGAGACAGCAGAAACTGATACTAAATTGCCTAAATTTACAACTGTGGAAGTTATTTCTTCAGAAACTACTTCGAGCACTGAAAGTGAAACATTTACAAAGCAGCCAACAGTAAGTACTGCGTTTTCTACAGAAGCGTTGAAAATAGAAGTAACGCATAAATTGCCATCAACATCTCCAGAAGTTGACGACGAGATACATGAGTTAACTACACTAAAAACGCTATCCAAAATAACACAAAAATCTGAAGCTGAAGATGCGGCATTTAAATTAACTACAAAAAGCGACATATTTACAGAAGCACCCAAAATAGCTCTATCCGAAATAACTGAAGTACCATTTCAAAAAGTAACAGAATCTGCTTTATTGGAAGAAACAACATTTAAAACTATTACGGAAGATATAGAGCAGATTACAAAAATAACAACTTTATCGCAAACAATAAAATCTTCTGAAACTCCTAAGAGCACACCTGAATTTGAAATTGAACATCCTATGACTTTAAAGCATACAGAAATAGATTCTGAAGCTCTAGAAACAACTAAATATATGGCCGGGGTGACGTCCAAGACCACGGCATTTGCTTCACTAGATGATTCAAGGAACAATAGCATCAATTACGCAAGCAGCAGTAACGGAAAAACAATCTCTACCCGAATTAATTACTAAAGCAGAAACTGTTTCAGAAGACTTTAAAATTGTAACATCTCCAACTGCTAATGCAACAGGTTCCGAAATACCAACAACAGATGCAACAGAAATCGTGGAAGATGAGTCTACTTCTAAATTGACAACAAAGGTCTATAGTACAACTGCTGAAGACGGCACGCCAGTCACTAGTACAACAGATGTTCAAGCCAAAGTTCTGACACCTAAGATTACAACAGGAGAGACTTTCACAGAACGTATGAGAACTGAACTCTTTGATGACACAGTATCAACGGATATTGAGCCATTATCATCGAAATTTGCAACAGAAGTATCCTCAAAGGTACCAGAAACCAAAGTTTCAACTCCTGTGACAACAGTGGCTGAAGGAGAAGTATCGCGATCAACAACCAAAACTGAGGATTCAAAAAGTTCAGATATCATAAAGACTACAACAAAATATCCTCCAATTGAGGATGTTACTTTGATAGTAACGATGGAGAAAGACAGGGAAGAATTTGAAACATCATCGATTCAGACAATGACAGAAATTGTAGAATCGACACAAAAATCAAAAATAACTTCAGAAGTGGCATATACTGAAACACCCCTAGCAACAAAAGGTGGCGAAGTGCAGGATGTGACATCGAATTTCACATTGCCTGAAATCGATATTACAGAACAGGCGAAAACTAAATCAGCCACTGAACAACCAACGACAGCAACTGATATTCTACCTACAATAAAATCAATTCCATCCGAAATGCCAGAAACAGCCATTCCGGATGCACATTCCATTTCGGAAGACGAAGATATAACAAGCAAATTAATCTTTACGGAAAGTACAGATACAAAAGTCTCCTCTGTACAAACAATGGAAGATATCGGAATCGAATCTACAAAAGAAATCATGAAAGAAACAATTTCAGATTTCTTTGAAACTGAAATGTCAACTTTACAACCTACTAAGATTGCAGCTCAGGATGAAGACGCACCAACTGTACACACAACGACAGCTGATGATATTAAAACTCCAAGTCCTACAACTGCTCATGTAACAGAAGCTGCAGAAAGCCATAAAACTGTGTCAACAACGAAAGCTCCACAAACTGAAGACAAAAAGCAGGAAACAACAACTGTATTTACCGCTTCGACAGAACAAATGGAAGCGGAAACAGAGAAAACAGAAACAACGCTTGATGAGGAACTAGAAGAGTTTAAATTAAAACTATCATCTCAGTTTGCGCCCTTCTCGGAAGATTTAGATATTGAAACTTCATCAATTTTGCCATTGGAAACTGAATATGAATCTACTGCGATAAGCACGGAACTTATCGAATCTTCAAAACCTCCGGTTAGTGAAAGTCCAGCGGCGGAAGAAGTGAAAATTACTAAAGTTGAGGAACCATCAGAACCATCCAAAATTTCCACATCCATTGCAACCGAAACAAGTGCAGAGACTATTCATACATCAAAACATGAAACAACAACATTAAAATTACCTACAACCTCGCAAGAGGAATACATCGTTAGAAAAACTACGGGTTCAGAAATAACTGAAGTGACAACAGTAGGATTTACTCAACCTGAAGAAACGAAAAAGACTGAAAAACCGACGACTGAGATATCTATATCTGCTGAAACAATTCGGGCTGCTAATGAAGAAGAGTTGATAAAAACACGTTTAACAACACTTACTGAAATTTCTGCAACTGGAGATGCAATCGAAAAAGAAACAGCAGAAGTTTCTGTCATATCCGAAGAGACTATACTAAGTAACCGAACTTTTGCTGCGGATGCTATGCTTGCACATTCTACTATTGCTATGAGTACTATAACTGAAGGTTCCCAAACAAAAACAGAAGAAAGCACTATCTCAGATTTTTCATTATCGTCTGCAACACCTTCCCCATCTGAAGAAAGCACGAGATCATTTTCAACTGAAGGTACATCAGAAACAACGAAAACAGACGAAACTATATTTAAAGAAACAAGCAGTATAACAGAAAAAGCAAAACAAGATTACAGAACTACTCTAGCTACATTACCTTCCACTCGACATATCATAGCAGAAGCTGACGTTTCAACTGAAAAGCTTGAAGCAACTTCCGAACAAACAGAAGTCGTCACTCAGTTTACTTCAACATCAAAGGAATTCATTTCATCCCCTGAAACTGATACGGATATAGATGTAGCTACAAAACTGGATACGCTTCATCCTACTACTTTAGATTCCAATATAACTACATATACTGAGGAGACGCCGTCTGATTTCAAATCTATATCTACAATATCAGAAGCATTTCCTAGTCAGATTTCTACAATATCTGCTGAAGAAATAAATGAAACCCAAATGGAATTAGACAAAATGCAAACTTTATCGAAGCTCGCAATTGCAACCGAAAGATTTACAGCAGACATTACATCAATTGTAAGTTCAACGAACGTTGTTTTCGAGGAGACCTCATCTACATCCACTGTGCATACACCTACGGAAACGGTATCTGAAGTAACTTCTCAAGATCAGACTTCACTCGATTCAATTTCAGCCGTCTCACTAAAAGATATAAAAGACGTAACGTCAGTAATCGCAACTACTACCTATTCTGAAACAACAGTCCATGAATCTTCTACCACTACAAAATCAGTTGACGTTTTAAGTGAAAGAGATACCAAAAAAGGTGAGACTGTAACGCCTGAAACGAAATTAATTAAAGAAGAAGTAGCGTCGACATTATCGCTAGAAAACGGAACAATAGAATCGAGTCCTGCAGTCAGTACTTCATTAGAGATTTTAGGATTAACTGGAAAATCTACAACAGCTGACAAAACTATAAGTACGGATATTGGAGACTTTTCAACTTCAACCTTGAAGCAAGAAATTACCACTAAAGACGATGCTACTCGTAAGACAAGTTTAGAAGACATTACAGAATCTTCACAACCAGAAAAAATTACTACATCGCATACCGAAATGGAAGCTGAAAAGGTAAATATGACGTTTGATGAATTTAGCTCGTCGGCAACACTTAAGATTTTAACAGAAGGAATATCCGAAATTTCCACGTTTGGAAGTACAGAAATAGGAGAACAAGCAAAATCTTCAGTAACAAAAATATCTACTGAAGTCCTAGCAGCTGAAGAAACAACCAAAGTGCCCGACATAAGTAAAAGCACAAAATTTGTAAGTGATGAAGTAACAGAAAAATTTATTACAGCTGAAACAAAAGCAGTTGAAGCCACAGTATCAGTTACAGGTACTTACCCAGAAATGACAAGTATTTCATCAACTGAAATGCAGATTTTGCATGAAGTCACTACTCCAGCCGGAATATTTTCTGAGAAAGAGGAGACAGATGTGTCAGAATTCACATCACGTACCGTTTCTAAAGAAGTATCTGTTGATGCTGAAGGTACTTCTGTAAAACTGCCTGTTTCAACAGAAATTATAACTGAATCAACAGCTATCCTTATGAAGACCACTTCTGAAACAAAGCCAGATGTCAAAGCTGCAGATGATGTAACAATGATTTGGAAGACGGAACAAACTTCTGAGGCAGAAGAAAGCTCGAAAACAGTTGATTCTGAAACTACATTAGCGCTTAAAACATCTTCTGCCAGTGATCATTTTAGAAGTACAGGTATTTTTATTTCTGAAAAACCGTCTATTACTGGAGTAGAAACGACAGAAATGATGGTCAGTACACCATTAACTCGTATAACAGAAAAAACAACTGAAAGTGTTTCTGAAGAAGAAAACATTACAACCATTTTTGAAGTCATTCCAGAAAAAGAAAAAATACCCACTACTGTAACATCAATACATGAAGAAAAGGTGTCGGAACAAACTCTACGTTCTTCGACTGATAGGATATCCACAACAGAAACAGCATTTCCTTTAGTCTCTAAAATTTCAGTCGAAGATGAAACATCAACTGACGAAAAGATTTTGTCTACTTCAGAGGAAGCTGAGAAACGAGAGACTGGCGCAGATGTGCCTATTATATCCACCACTGATTCAAGACGTTTTGAGAGTACAGTCAAAGTAACAGAACCTACATCTTTAGTTACGGAATCAACATCATCAACAGCAACCACGCCTTATCCAGAGGCAGTTGAGACAGAGGCGATAGGTGTTGCCGTAACAACAGAAACCTCAGAAGGACCATCTACAAAAGGTTTAACTGAAATAGAAGAAGGAGAGACTGTAACGGAAAGTAAGTTCATTGGATTTATAACTTTTGATTCATTCCGCAAAATATATGTCATTAAAAGGAATTGAGCTACATAAAGAAATGAAATATACGGTGTTTAAAAAATATTGCACATCTAAATATTTCTTGAATAATTAGTTGCAGATTAAGAGTTCCAACTGTTTAAGAAATGAGTCAAATACGATAGTCTTTTGGATTGCCACGTTTTGGGTTACGTGATGCATATTGTTGCGTGCGTACGGGTTCGTTATGAAGTGAATGCACAAGTCCGATGAAAAATGAACAAAACTTTTTATTATCACAACAAAAATGCTTAAATTTTCTCAAATTATCATGCAGTATTACAATATCTCACAGTAGTTATCTTTTAACTACTCAAATGTACAATAGAACGTAATTCAAAACAGCTAAAGAACGCTAATCCCCGAATTCGCTACAATCAACAACAGCAGTTTTCTAAACAACAACAAACTAAGCAACTACTACAAACTGAGATGTTTTCCTCCTTTTTATAAGATTTTAAAATCACGCGCTAGAATTTTCCAGTACTTTCTCGAAATCAAAAAGAGATATTTATTTATTTAATGCACGCGCTCTTGTATTTTCAATTTTTCCGGCTTAGCTTTCTTTTAATATTCGTCACGCGCTGCACTGCGCGAGAAATAAAACCATTTAATTTATAATTGAACTAACATTAGCTTTTTAAATACCAAATTCGTAACACTGCCCCCTTCCCAAGGACTGCACGTCCCGGGCAGTACAATCCCTGGACAGGAAGCTAAACTTACAACTGTGGCATAAATGCATTAATAAGCATTACATTACAATAATAAACAACATGAACAATAAATGCAATAACTAAAACAAATCAAATGCTAAATCAAATACAAATCAAATACACATTTAAAAAACAAAAGGACCATGGTCTTATACTATTTACAATTATTTACATTATGTACTATGGCCATAGTAATGAGCTAACCTGTCGTAATGACCGACTTTAGGTTTAGAGTTCGAAGACTTACGGAGACGTCATTCAGTCTGTTTCAGCACTGTATATGGACCATCCGAAGGTGACTGTAAGTTTAGGACTGAGTCCTTTTCGTTGAATCGGGTTCCACAACCACACCTTGTCTCCTTTCGTTGGATCTATGTTCAGTAGCTCTCGTGTTGTATCCGGTCTTCAGTTTCTCCGTCGCCAAGTTCACGCGCTTTCGTGCGAAACGGGGCATCACTTCAAAACGGGCCTGGACATCTTGGATGTGTTCCTCAGGCGATGAAGGCGCATCCGTACGGCGATCAAACAGGCGGTCACTAGGCAGACGAAGGTCTCGACCGAAGAGCATCTGGGCTGGAGAAGAGCTGGTAGTCTTGCGTTTCTTTTCGACCCTAGCATGATTTCGGCGGCTTCCCGAGCTGGGTCTTTCGGACAAGGCGTCGGCATTTCCAGGTGAGGATCTCTTCTGAGGATGGATAGTCATGTCATCAGATGCTGAGAACAGCTTATTGTTTTTGAAGTCTAAGGAAAAATTGTATTTCCTTAAAAAGTCCAATCCGAGTATGCATGGATCTGTGATATCCGCCACATAAGCCGTGTGATGGTAGGCGGCACTTCCAAACGTGATGCTTACGTTTAACTTCCCAGTTATGTCGATCTTATCACCAGACGCAGTCTGAAGGGTAACACAGGATGGCGTCCAAATAAGTTTATCTTTAAACTGTTCAGCTAAATCTTTCCTAATGATGGTAACATTAGCTCCTGTGTCAATGATCATATCGCAAGGAACTCCATCGATATTCCCATTAATGGACATTCCGTTACTGTTGCCACTCACTGTATAAATTTTAAGCGCTTTAAAACAAGGTTTTTTCATTATCTGACAACCTCCGTTCCTCGATATGGTCACTAATTTGTTTACTGCGTCGTTGCTGGGAAATGGTCTTATTTTCCGTACCTCGGGGTGTTTTGCAGTTTCTTCGTATGTGGCCTTCAACTCCGCAATTCCAGCACTTTAGAACTAGTTTCTTCTCACTTCTGTTCCGTCTCAAGCCACTGACTTGTCTGGTAAAATCATCTGCTTTATATTCCGTACCCTGGGGCGTTCTGCAATTCCGTCTTAGGTGACCTTCACTACCACATCTCCAACACCTTACAGCCACTTTGTTCTCACTGCTACTCCGTATCAAAGCATCGACTTGTCTGGATAAATCATCTAAACGAGCCATCAGTTGATCCACTGGCTCATGGACTCGCACAGCTCTAACTGGGTAGCGATCTCTATTAGTTGCTTGCTGGGCTGCCTCGAACTTCATGGCGTACAACAGAGCGCTTTTTATGTCCTTTACATTGCCATTCGAAGAGCTTTCTGTATTTCAGGGTCCCGGATGCCGTCGATGAAATATTGCAGCGACAGGATTTCTCTTGTTTCTGTCGGGCACTCCGAAAAGGCGAGGTGGGACAGCCTTTCAACATCCGTGGCGAGCTCCTGAAGTGTTTCGGTAGGCTTCTGTTGACGAGATTTTAATTGGAGCCTGCTGTAGTCTTTTAAACACTTCTCCCCAAAGCGCAGCTCCAAGGCGCCGGAGAGAGCTTCGAAATCTAACCTTTTGTTTTCGGGAAGAGTCTGAAGGATATCCGCTGCGTCGGCTCTTAAAGAAGCGGCGAGATGGCAGGCCTTAGTTTGGGAATCCCATCCATTCGCATCCGCCACTATAGAAAATTGTGTTTTATACACTTGCCAGGAGGTCTTCCCATCATAAGTGGATAACTTCAGAGAGGGACGAGCAGGCATGGTAAAAATTTAAACCATCACTATTGTTCCCTGCCGTCGCTACGAATTTCTTTAAATATCCACTTCTTTGGCTACTGCAGAAACCCTATCATCAATTTGTTGTTCGATTTGGTGTTGGACGGCACAAACTCTTCCTTCTATATGTTCTTTTACAGAAGAAACTCTTTCTTCTATTTCTTCTTTCACCGAAGAAACTCTTTCGTCAATTTGATCTTTTACAGAAGAAACTTTTTCTTCAATTTGTCCAACTTTATTTTCAACTGTGTCAATTCTGCCTTCCATAGCTTCAAATTTATTTTCTATTATGCAGGTAATTTCTCTTTTCATTTCTTCCTGACCGGCTTGAACGGCTTTCATTTCGTCCTTAACGGATTCCTGGCCCAATTTCATTTCTTCCTTAGCGGATTCCTGGCCCAATTTCATTTCTTCTTTAAATGAGGCAAAGGCTGATATTAAATGCCTTAATTGCTCTTCCATCGCTCTTGTTATTGGCATTCAAATCCCACTTCTGACACCAAAAATTGTTGCGTGCGTACGGGTTCGTTATGAAGTGAATGCACAAGTCCGATGAAAAATGAACAAAACTTTTTATTATCACAACAAAATGCTTAAATTTTCTCAAATTATCATGCAGTATTACAATATCTCACAGTAGTTATCTTTTAACTACTCAAATGTACAATAGAACGTAATTCAAAACAGCTAAAGAACGCTAATCCGCGAATTCGCTACAATCAACAAGCAGCATTTTTCTAAACAACAACAAACTAAGCGCACACTACTCCAAACTGAGATGTGTTTTCCTCCTTTTTTTAAGATTTTAAAATCACGCGCTAGAATTTTCCAGCACTTTCTCGAAATCAAAAAGAGATATTTATTTATTTAATGCACACGCGCTCTTGTATTTTTAATTTTTTTCCGGCTTAGCTTTCTTTTAATATTCGTCACGCGCTGCACAGCGCGAGAAATAAAACCATTTAATTTATAATTGAACTAACATTAGCTTTTTAAATACCAAATTCGTACATATATATAAATATATATAAAATAATATAAATAATATAATAATATAATAATAATATAAGAATAATATAAATTAATAATTTTCTTGTTAAGATTAAGAGTTCCAACTGTTTAAGAAATGAGTCAAATACGATAGTCTTTTGGATTGCCACGATTTGGGTTACGTGATGCATATTAATTCAATCTTCACGAAACTTAAGTTTTAATTTGAGGTAAGCGAGGAAGAAGCTTTCAGCAGAAAAAGCTATTTCTCATAGCGGAACTAGTTAAACAGAAAAAAATGCTAATTAAAGTTTGAAATATTTTGTGTAATTAAAGTACACCTATCTGATTATACTGAAATCAGATTTGAAACATTTTGAGTTTTAGAGTAATTTATAAAATATTGTATTAGGCATTTAGCTCTTTTCTTCCCCCAAAAGAAATTTGTGAATTTTATTTCTCAGTTTATCACAAAAAGCTGATTTCAGTAAATATTAGGAAACATGATAAATAAGCCATTAAAAAAACTACATACCTTTACCTGTGAGCAGTAGTTGCTGAGAAAAAGTACATCGAGTATAAATAAATTGCATTTAGATAAAAACGCGTTGTTATGTAAAAGTCCTCATTTATCAAAGCACTCGATGATAAATTAAAACTAGATTTTTTAAAGTTCTAAATTTTTATAAAGGTTAAAGTATGATATTTTTGGAAAGCTAAAAGCGTAAAGAATTTGAAAATGCAAAAATTCCAAATCACCATTTTTTGAAGATGTTTGTCTTCCAACACCCCTTAATTTTAATGAAATATTTTCACAAATTTTCGTTAATTACATTAAAACGAAATTTTAAGATAATTCGATTTTATTAAGATAACGATTACAAAAATTTAAATTAAAGTTTACTGTAATATTAATATTAAATTCAGGTACTATTTCTTTTCTATTTATATTGTAAAATTCGTTAAATATTGTTGCTGATTTCCATGTACTTAACTTTCTATGAGTACTTCTAAAAGGGATAAACGATAATATGTTTTTTTAATATTATTTAAAATTTGTAACTGAGTTATTATTAAATGCTGGGAAATAATTCTTTTACTACTTATCAATTTTTCCCATTAATTTCAACAACACACATTCTAAAAATTCTACTTTACTCCTTCCATCTCATTGACTGTTCTTTGCAACGCCTTTTAATAGAAAATAGGGTTAAACAGGCAGCTGAAGAAGGCCCCACTGACTAGCCTTCTTTAGCTGCCTGTTTAACCCTATTTAAAAGATTGTTAATCTAAACGATTGTTTTCTAGTACGAACAATTCTTGCTTAAATAATTTTATAAATATATTTGTCAACAGAATTTCACTTTATGTTTACAATTAAGTATGAAGATTATTATACATTTAGATTATATATAAAGAAATTATATATAGAAGAAATTTAGATATATTTAATAACTAGATTTTTCGCACAGGAACATTCACATGAGTTTATGAAGGAATAAATCCTTCATTTCCAAATACATTTATAAATAATTTAAAAAATATTTACGTATTTTGTTAAAGGCAAATGCATGCTTTTTACAAGGATATGCATAAATACTCGTATATATTTCATATTCGGCATGTGCAAATCTTTAATTTCTGTGCATTCACTCTATTTTTTCGAGTAAAGTAATTTACAGTAATTTAGCATATATCAGAAGTTTTACATAAGAAATATGTGTAAATTTGAATTGAATGAAAACTACATTATTTTTAAAACGCATTAAAAGGTCAGTCTTCGTACGAAATTCCTCCACGAAAGCTTCCTCCCTTAGGCATATAGCCCTTGCATGCTTTCCTTTATTTAAAAAATCTTAACTCGACCTATGTGCCTAATTGCAAATATTGTAACATGCATAATTTTATATTTACATTTAGAAATCAAGTTTCAAACACGTTTTTAGATACATTCATTATAAAAATTCAAATTTTCTAGTGAATATATTTTGGCAGAGCGTTCAGTAGCTCTCTTAGTAATGTTACGTAATTTAATAGTACTATCAATAATACAATACATAACAACTATACGTTTCAAATTTAAACATTAACCCCATTGTCATCTAATTACAATCTTGTTTGCTTTACTCTGCATATACTAATATTGCATCGTTTTTTGAAACAGTTAAAAAGGATTACAGGATTTGAAGGGGTAATTTCTTTTCTCAGTTAAGATAAATAAACGCAAAGTGAATGTATGCGATGGTTGGATTGAATGGATATAAACAAAGCACAGCCGCTTTGGAGACCAAAGCTGTGTAGCACTGTGTTCAGGCGTAGCGTGAGGATGACATCTCTTTTATTCTTACCTCCATAATATTTGGTCTATAATATCTCCTGTTTCAGTAAATTAATTATTCGTAATACTTGCACAAAAGCTGCAAAGTAATAAAATATAAATTTATTTACTAATGGATTATCGAGTATATTATCTCCTTTGAGAAAGGTAGTAGAATTTAAGTTAAATGAAGTAACTTATAAATATTTTAAAATGAATATTGAAGATTTTGTTAAAATGAAACATCAGCTATGAATCATGAAAAATGGAAAATGGAAACTAAAAAATTAAAGAGTAATAATTAATCAAGTAATTATCGTCATTCATCAGAAATTGGTTGACTTTTCAAGGTGAACAAACCAACCTTTCATCAATTGACAATAATTAATAAATGCGAAAGTGTTTCGTCTTTTACTCAAGTAAGAATTATGATGCCAATCTGGTATTAGGTAAGTTAAATAGGTAGATTTTAATTGAGATGAATTTAAGTTAATTTACTACATACAATTCATTATGAAAATGGCAGTTCCGTTAAGTTTAAACATTTTTTAATATCGTGAGATATTATTGTTAGAGTGAGTAGTAGTAGTAGTATTTTTCTTACTTGAGTTAAGTGCCTCTCCGACACACTCGCTTTATTTTCACGTCTTTGCATTTAATTTACTAACATCAATCAATCATGTTAACGCAAAGTAATCTTTATAAACATAATAAACAGAATGCAATCTTTGCAAAAAATTATTAAATATGAAAAAATATTTATAGAAAATAAGAAGGTACAATTAATTGTACAAAAGGAAGTGTGTTAATATACATAAATGGCCAGAAAATTATAAATTATTTAATTAACTTACGTGCTTGTGAGTGGTAAAAGTAACACCTTCGTACCCAAAATGGAAAATGGAGTGACGAATGAGTTAGTGGATGTCGGGGACTTTGAGAATCTATTTTCAGAATACGAGAAGGAAGTGTGTATATAGTTACCCTACATTCGTTCCAATTATTTCTTAATTTCTGTTTCGGATCATTTGAGACTTCTAAATGCAAAAATACTAACATTTGTAAATCTTTTTACGATTCCTTGTAAAGAATTCAAAAAACTTCATTTGATCCTCTTTATAAAAATCTGCTTGTATAACAATTGTTAGTTTGTATTACTTAATATATTCCATTTTCATAGGTGGATGTTTGGTTAATGGAACTATGTACGGAGATGGAGAAGCTATAGACAGCGTTGAACCTTGCGAGAAGTGCCATTGCGCTTCAGGTGATGTTATCTGCTTCAAAGTCATCTGCAAACTACCTAAAGCAGGATGTATTCCAAAGACAACCAGTATCGATGAATGTTGTCCGAGTTCCTACGACTGTCGTAAGTGTCATTAATTTACAAAATTTAACCTAAGCAGACACAACTGTGTAAATATATCGCAGTTTCGGTAACAAATAAATTAATGTCTGAAAAATGTTTCCATTCAAAATAATCGTCATTTTTCCTTTTGTGTTACTTTTTGAGTAATTTTAAAAATAATTTATAATATTTTGCAAATTCTATATTGTCCGAGCAATGCATAAGAGAATAAAGTAATAGCTCTTTCATTACGTTTAAGGTTAATTTTAATCACCTAATAAAGTACATCGTGTTTGTTGGTGTTGGTGTATTTAATTATGGCAAAGCACACTAGGGCTATCTGCCTAAGGGGGAGGGGATGCCTTCGTGGAGGACTTTCTAAGGGAAACTGGCTCGTATACACGTTACATGGGGAAAACCACGAAAACACCCATGAAGCCAGCCCGTTCGCGGGATTCGAACCTCGGACCGAAATACCAGTGTTCAGCGACTTTACCGCTCGGCCGCTGGTGGGCCCTACATCGTGTTTAATCTTCCTATGCTTCCGAGAATTTTCGTCTTTGCATTTAATTGCACGTAAGTCTAAAAGTCTAAAAGCACAAAGGAACAAAGTAGCTCCAAAAAAAGCAAGATTAACTGGAATATATTTATTAAAATTATGCTTTTAAAATACAACTAATATTTAGCAAAGCAAACACACAGATGGAACGGTTCAAGAAGTAAACAACTTTTCGACTTCTCTTTCTTTTTCGCAGCTTCCTCCCTAAACTAAAAATACCTTAACCATTTAAAGTCCACCTAAGCTACATTCTAATACTGGCTTGATAAAAGACACAAAAGTTAAAAGAAAGAATTAACGTAAAAATAGCGTGTTAGCCCCCCCAACAATTTACATACTAGTATATAAATATTAGAGTTATATGTTTAAATAAATTTTGATACTTCTGTTATTCTGGAACTGGATTCAGAAATCTCTGTATGCATATGTCTTTGTGTCCATGTATGCATGTATTATGTTCACTGCGCAAAAGAAAGACCAGTTCTGTAACTCCCGTTCTACTGGGCCGATTGACGAAATTCAACTTGCGTTTTTCGTGTTTCGAAAGCGCGACTTAGGATATGTATTATATTTATATATATTTTAGGTTCATACTTCTTTTACGCATTTCTATCACACTTTATTACAACTAGGAAGCATCCAAAGAAGGAGACAATCACTACATTTGTTATCGCTAATATTTAGTTTCGTTCTTATTTCAGAAAGAATAGTTTGGAAAGAGAATATCGGATCATACAACGTATGTTAAATAAATAAACCATATACAAAACAAGCAACTTTTTGTATCTCTGTTATATAGTTCAAATGGATTCTCCTTTTACTTGCCTGCAAATTCCATCGCATTATTATTCATTGTTTAGTAAAATCTGTAGTATCTGACCTTTAGATTATCGACCTATTATTAAACCTTTGTACATGAAATGAATTATTCTTGTTATTGCATGTTCCATTTAAGATATCATCCCTATATTTTTACTACGTAAGTCACAGTTCTGGAGCCAGCAACCTTCTGATCTGTGGTTGGTTGGCTCCCATTCTTCGAGATTCGAACTTGAGTCTAATTGCTAGTTTTCAGCGGCTTTAAACACTCGGCTCTACTACTGGGCTCCAACTCTCCAACTCTTAATCAAGATCATAACAGTCCGTCCTAAGAGCTCACGTATTTTAGTTACTGACGTTACATTTACGTCATTGATTTTGAATTATATACTGTTAGTAATCTAATGTACGGATGGCGAATTTGACATTCACAAGCTGTTGATGTATATGATTTGTTTTGTATATGATTTGAGAACTTTTGAGTTTATCATGAGCTATCTAGCATTCAATTAATTATTAAATCGTATATTTCCAGCGCACTTATTAGATCGCGATGACGCCCATTGGGGATAAACACATTAATGAAAACATTTGGAAACATTGGCGTAAAAAAACAAATTGTGGCCCATGCAGCTGATGTTAATCTAACTGCAGCTGATGTTCCCAACGATTTGTGAATCGCTGTGAACAGCCCTAAGTAACAACAAGTTCAAAAGTATGGAGAACTAGTCTGTGAAGAAATTGTGAGTTCAAATATTGTGGGAACAAGATTTATTTTGTCCTGTTCTGCAAGTAACTTCTTGAAATTTGAGTTCTATCAATTCAAGTGTTTAAAGATTTCGCTTGGGAACTACGATCTATTCCAATACTTTCTTGTCCGCAGATTAATGCTAATATTAACTACGAAGTCTAAAACTGTAACCCAGCTACAAAGTATTTGTACCTAATAATGAAACTTGCGATTTGATTAATTGGTGTGGTTAGGTACGCTCGTCATGCACATTAATCCGTTCTTTTAATATCCGTGGAAATATATTTATTTTCCGTCATACTATCAAAATAAACTTATTTTTATTTTCAAGGAAATAATTTTACTGCTGTGGGAGTAAAAAGGAAACCACACTCCTTTGTCAATGCACATTAATTATACCTGTTTTTGTTTTTGTCAAACTTGTAATAAAATCTTGTTGTTTCTTCAGAGCGTCAATTTTAATAGTCAGGTTTTGCTAGTTACGTGTTAGTTCCATTTAAGTTGAATAAGAGTGAGTTCACTCTGAATGAATGAATTTCACTTTAGACAATAATTAATTTTTTCCTGTTATTTTCACGAAGTGATTCCTGTATATAGTAGCGGGAATTTCCCATCCTATAATAGTATGGGCAATATTATTTTTAATGCCTTTTCTATCTAATAACATGTTATATCTTATTCGTAGCTACATGCAATAGGAATTTATCCCACTATGATAATATGGGCAATATTGTATATTATTAAATGATTTTTTAGTTGCTAATAACACATTATATGTTGAGCGTAAAATTAGACGTTCCTTCAAGCAATTGTAAAGAACGAAATTTGTTTTCTCTGATGAATGCAAATGCACCTCAGAGTAGTGACAGATTCATGGTTATCGACATTCGGCAGGAATCTCCCTGCCCCCTCCTTGTTGGGATAATCACTATACAAAATTACAACACAAATATATAATTAACATTTATTTATTTAAAATTAAATAGTAAAATGATTCAGAAAATAAAAAATTCTTAGGACTGAAGAGTAAAAAAATGTACGTTTTGTAAACATGAAGGAAAAAACAACTTACGTCTGGCAGACAAACATATATTTTTTAAAAACTTATTAATATATAACTTTTTGATGTTTTAAAAATTGTTTATAGCTTTCTTTGCCAATAAAAAAAGCTAAAAAATTTTTTTTTAAAACTTTGACTTCTCAGCATTTTTATAGCTTCATCAAAATTAATGTTTATAGTTACTGAATTTTCTATAGAAAAGGATTGCCAAACCGTTAAATATTACTCGGCTAATTTTTGATTGAAGATAGTTTTGAATCAGCTTCAGTGTTTAAAAGCTTCTGTCGCAAGAAGCAATTGAAACACGCACCGTAAAAAAAGTCTTCAGTGCCAAATATAAGTTAGGGAGTGATTCTTGGAAGTCCATTTTTTAATAAACTTTTACATTTTCTTTGCCGACCACATTTCAAGGTAATCCTTTTTTATATTCCTACGTATAAGCACATATACTTAAAAACGTACCGTTCTTCGGAGCTGCCCCCTCCAATCAGAAGCCTGGGTGGTCAGCTACTCCTCCTCAGTACGCCACTGCTTCAGAGTCTTAGTTTATCAATAACGGCATTGATTTATTCTCAGTCTATAACACCGTAAGGAAATAAACTAAATATCCTAAATCTTTAGAATAAACTTTTGCTATTAGGAATTAAGGAAGAACTATTAGAAACGCTCAGAAATTTTCGAATTGTTAAGAATTAAATGAAAGACTATTAGGAATTTTGAAAGAGAGAGAGAAAAGATAATTACTGTAATATATGAGATCTGGTATCTAAAAATACTAAATATTACATTAAGAATGTTATTAAGTATATTAAGACTGTTAACATTCCTAAGATTTTCTTTCATTTTTAAATTCTACGTAGGTTACAACAGTATATTAAACACACAATGTGTAACCTTCTTTTCCTCCTTACCGCATGCCCTCGTAGTGAACTGGAAAGCACATTCAGCTAACGATCGGGAGTTCCACAGTTCGAATTCTGGTTAGGATTTGCACATTTTTCTCATCTCCAACTCTGAAATGTAAACTTAATGTCTCTACAAGTGACGCCCGAATTAAAGAACAATAGCGGGTAATAACCATTTTCTTTAGTTTCGTCACCACCAGGATTTGTCGATTGGGTCCCTTCCTCACCAGCCGCTCTTTAAGAGTGGAGAGACTGTAAGTTTTCTCCCTTATTAACCATACTTTCGTGGTGTAACTAGAAAGCACGTCCAACTGGTAATCAAAAGTCCGGAGTTCGAATCCCATTGAAGAGAATGCCCATTTTTTGCCTTTCCTGCTCTGAAATAAATACCTAATAAGTTTGCAACTATGAATAAGTAAAATGTACGACAGGTAACCTTTATATCATTCTAAAAATCTTATATCATTCTAAAAATCATTAAAAATTACTAAATTTCAGATATTTATTGATGCATGCATATTCCTTTATTTTAAATTCGTTTTTATGTCTTTCAGCAACTGATGGAGAAAAAGCCGAAACGGTTGCAATTACTAGCACCCTTAAAGTCACTCAGAAAGATTTTACTACTCCAATACCAATCAGCTTCATGTTTTCTTCAACACCAGCATCCATTGCATCAACTGTATTAATAACAAAACCTAGTGATCAGCCATTACCTGAGGCCACACTTGAAAGAAAAGACTATACTACTGTCACAGATGACAGAGATGTATCTATTACTACTCATGTTCCTACTGATACATTCCTAGACACCTCAAGTAAAACTAGTGAAAGATCAGCAGTCACTGAAAGCACGAAATACAGTACTCAAGAACCTTACGCAACTGCTACACAGTCAGCTGTCGAAGAGCATTCCACAACATCGGATATAAGACCGGGAACACCTAGATTCATTCTAGATGACACTTCAACAATTGCTTCCACTGCAACGATTTCTGAAAGTGAAGTCAAAACAACAATCGAGCTGACATCTACTGTTCCTGAATTTGATGTTACGCAAAGTGAAAAACTACCACATGCTGTGGACCTTGCAACGGAAGGTCCCAAAGCGGATGAAACATCAAGTCTTGTTGCAGAACAGGAAACGAAAATTATAATGGATAAAGTCTCTACAACCCAAACTACAGCTTACTCGGACACAGATACGTCAGAGAAAAGCAAAGTGGTTACATTTTCCGGAGAAACTGTTGTTACAGAAGAGAAAGCTTATCCCCACAGCACTACGGTCGAACCTACAAAAGAAAAAGAACCTGAAATTCTGACAGTTACTGGCACTGAAATTGGTAATATTTCCCAAGAACCAACAAAGCTATCAGTTACAACAATCGAAATGAGTGACTCATACGTCACATATAAAAGTACAGAAACAACTGGATATTCTGAAGAACAGGGAACTGAAACAGAATTAGCTAGCGCTACAGTAATAGTGTCTACAAAACGTTCAGAAGATACTACAAATAAATCGATAGAAATTTATGATGTAAAATCTAGCACTATTTCAACTACGCAAATTACAGAAAGAGATGAAGTTCCAAAAACCACTCTCAAAGTAACAGAAATTCCAGCTATAACCGACGAAACAGGAGAAAAAGAAACTCTTCTCAAAACAACAGGTATTGCAGCTGTAGCTGAGACAATAACAGAAAAAGAAGCTATTCTCAGAACAACGGTTATTTCATCAGTAACCGATGCAGCAACAGAAAAAGAAATCCCTCTCAAACCAACCGGCGTTCCAACTACAGCTGACACAGCAATGGAAAAAGAAATTATTCTCCAAACAACGAATATTTCAGCAGTAACCGAAGCAACAACAGAAGAAGAAATCCGTCTCAAACCAACCGGCGTTCCAACTACAGCTGACACAGCGATGGAAAAAGAAATTATTCTCAAAACAACGGATATTTTAGCAGTAACCGAAGCAACAACAGAAGAAGAAATCCATCTTAAACCAAAAGATGTTTCAACTGTGACCTATAAAACAACAGAAAAAGATATCCTTCTTAAAACAACAGCTGAGAGCGATACAACAACAGGAAAAGAAATCCTGTCCAAAACAACAAGTGTTTCAGCAGAAACTGAAGCAACAACAGAAAAAGAAATCCTTCACCAAGCAACAGATGTTTCAGCTGCAAGCGATTTAACTACAGAAAGAGAAATCCTCAAAACAACGAGTGTTTCAGTGATAACTGATGAAGCAAAAGATAAAGAAGTTAGGTTTCCAGTTGTGGAAGCAGAAGACAGAATTATATCCACAACAATATCTGATCATACACATTCCATCCCATCTGAAACATTTGAATCTATATTACAGAAGGAAAGCACGAAGGAAATGGCCGGTGAAGAAATTACTCCTCTGTCAACAGCTCTTCCGTCAAAATTGCCAAAATTCGACGATTTCGTAACAAGTACGTCTAGAGTACCTGCAGAAGAATTCATTACAGCAAAAAGCTTTAAAAGTGAGACAGTCATGGAAGCAGAAACTACTTCAAAACCATCTTTAAAAGATGTTACAACAGCAACCAAGAGTGATGAAACTGAAGAGCTATTCAAAGGTACAGAATCTACGCATGACTTCAAAAAAGTGAATCTGTATCGACTGATGCAATTGCTAGCACTTCAAGTGGTACAACTGTTCCTACTTTATCTAGTGAAGCATTTGACTCCGTGAAAAGAAATATCACTGATCAGATGCAATCTGAAGTGTCGGATGTAACTTCTACTTTAAGCACTTTGCATCCATTCATATCGACAACATTAACTACAGTAGATTTAGCAACCTCAACAGATAAAGAAATTGATCATGTTTCAGTTACAAGTGAGCACGACATTCGAAAACCTACAATATCTGAAAATTTATCTGAAAAACCTCAGACGCAGATAAACGAAACTGGAGGTTTTGATGGTATTTTGCCAACAGGCGATGTTTTCAGTGCTGCTCGAGATGAAAAAAGCACACCTGCAGGTTCTTCAACTCATGCTTCTACTCTTACTGCTGAATCATCAAAAGTGCCAATGTATATTCCTTCCCTAATACCTCAAGAAATAGACTCTGTTACAGAAACTGCACAAATAAATCAAACGATACAAAGTTTATCTAAAGAAAGACTGCCCACTGTGTCTGACAGTGAAATAACCGAAGAAGAACTTTCTGATATCTCTACGGAAACAAAAATATCAGAGAAAACTACTGTTTCTTCCACAACTACAGAGAAACAAAATCTGGAAACAATTAAACAGTCAGTAATACCTAAAACGGCATCACCAACAATCGGAAGAGATACTGAAATTCAGACAACAGGTTCAGTTGAACCTTCTACTACTTTTGACCACGTTTCAGCTACTGACAAAGTATTCACATTTGTATCTACACGTTTTACTGATGTTACAACGGAGAGCATTGAAACCGAAACGATACTTGCAACTGAACATGACATATCAACATTAAATGTCACTGATGTAAATAAAAAAGAAGAATTAAGAAATTTAACATCGTCAGCTGCCACTGTATCTGAAACATCTCCACTGTTTGAAACATCTACAAAGATTATTTTCACAACAAGAAAACCAGCGCTTAAATCTGTTGATGATTCATTACCGTCTGTCAGCCCGTATGATATAGATTTAACTAACCAGACAGAAATTCAGGAGCAAGAAGAACTAAGCTCTAAGTCTTCAACTACAATCTTAACCCCTGCTATAACAATCTACGAAGAGGAAGGGGATCTAACGAAGACTGATATATCGTTAATAGAAGCAAAAACTTCTATAGATGTAATAGATGAATCAACAACCGTGCATCTTGCAAAAGACACGTTCCCAACTTCAACATATGACTTTACAGTACCAGATAAAGAAATTTCAACAAGTGATGAAAGAACATCGATAGCCGCTTCAATAGGAGCATCTTCAGTACCAACTGAAGAAACAACTTTTAAAGAGAAATCGACAGTAGAAACAACAGAAGTGGAAAAAGAAATATCTGTATCAGTAAGTGAACAATTTACAACGTATGATCACGCCATTTCACCTAAAACATCTGAAACTCAGACTGAAGACAAAATATATGTTGCTAATTTAACAACTTTGCCAGAGGATATAGTCGATATTACTTTTGCTTCTGATAACGAAACTCTGATTATAACAACTCATCGTAAATTCAAGGATGTTACTAGTGCAGCAGAGGAAACAACTTCCTCTCCTTATTTGAAAACTTCGATACCAGCCATATCATTCACAACTTTCTTAGATGATCTTAATGCAACAAGAAAAATAGCTGACGAATCTTTAGAAACAATATCATCAAAAGATGCTTTTGAAACAATCACTGCTAAAGCTAGTGAACAAACTTCTGGAGCTACTCTAACTGAGAAATCTGACACCATCACGAGCGACATTCGTTCAACAACACCTTTTATTTCAAAAGTAGAATCGTCAACCATCGAAAAAGCACTTGCTTCTACGGAAAAAACAGACGTTCCAACTCAGACAGAAATAACTGAAAGCACAACTTCTGGTAGAGAGATGTCTGCAAAAGTCAGTGACATTACTGTGTCATCCACTTTTGTTGAAGACATTGTAACGGAAAAATTATCAGATATTACAAAAGGTGCTACTAAGATTGCCATAGAACGTACGACATCAGTGCCAACCATAAAGGATACAACTCTTGAGGAAGAATCATTGGTGCAAAATATGTCTTCAGTGACTACAAAGCTAGACATTGCTGCTGATATTACCGCTCAATCAACGACAGTTCAGTCAAAGGCAACAACAGTACATGAAGTTACTGAGCAGGCAAGACAAGATGTGACTGGACTTTTAACCAAAGCATACAAGGCTATCGAAACAACGCCTACTCCCTTCACTGTAACTGCTCCTACTTTAGATAAAGAACAGGAAACAACGGCAGGTTAGTTCATTTTAATCATAACAAGTGTGTTTATGAAACAGTTACTTTTAGTTTCATTTAAGACGTATTTTATTGATTGTATACCTTGATTTTATTTCGAAAATATTTTATACTTTTTTTTTTCATTCTTTAAATAAAAATTTACAGGTGTATTTATGTATTTTTCAAATAATGACTTTTATTGAAATATGCAGAGATTTTGGAGCATACAGTATATTTACTCAACGATTCTACTCAAACTTCAGAAATAACCATACTAATTTAAAAGGCGAAACTGAAATTGCAATTGAATGCGAAACTGAAAAGAAAAATATTTTCAAATAAGAAAACTAAACTGCTAAATAGTGAAGAAAAACGAACGTAAACTATTTATATTAATAAATAAAATATAATATATAGGAATAAAGGAAAATTTTATTTTATAAAATATAAACTTGTTTGTACTATCGTTGAAGCATAGCCTGATTTTTAATGTAAAGTAAACGTAGTTCATTACAGTTTATAGGGTACTAATGCGAATTTAAAAAGTTAGCTAGAGAAAAGTTCAAAAAGTACTTCCTGTTTATGAGAAAATTCAGAGAGTTACTTAAGGTAACAGGTAATGTGCCTTGGTTTCTTGTTTGTGGAATAATAAGCAAATATTTAATGATTTATCTGGTTTATTAGATTAACGGCAAAGCAATCGAGGGCCTAAAGGGCTAACTATCGAGGGCCTAACTGCCTAAAGGGAAGGAAGCCTTCGTGGAGGAATTTTTAAGGGAAACTGGCTCGTATACACGTTACACATGGGGAAAACCACGAAAACACCCATGCAGCCAGCCCGTTCGCGGAATTCGAGCCTCGAACCGAACTACCAGTGTTCAGCGACGTTACCGCTCGGCCGCTGGTGAACCCAAGTATTGAATGTAATTGTGATTTAAATTACTACTTGATGTACAAAACTGCAGTAGTAGAAATGTAGTGAGATATTTTTATTTATTATTATTATTATTTATTTTAATAAAAAAAATTCGGAAACATGTTCGATCATTCTGATCAGCGTTTTGAGAACGAGCAAAAGTTTTTTCATAAAATGTTCTCTTAATATGCATTTCTGAAAGGTAATTGCAAATAAGAGAATTCCGTGAGTACCTATGAACTGGATAAAGCTTAATATTTCCCTCACGAAATATGAAAATCATCAAACTTACATCAAAATCTTCATAAATGATAAGAAATTTATCTAAGATTTTTTTTACCCATTGGTACTGCAAAGCGTGAATGCAATAAATATCGATCTTTACATAAGAAGTGAAAACTGAGATATCGCAATAAATAATTATGAATAACAAAATGAAACTCTGTTAATTGAATATCTATACAGCCATTGGTCGATTTACCGGGGTAATAAAGGTAACAACGCCGGTGTTTTACCCGAGGACTGTAAAAACAAGAAAGAAAAGAAAACTTATATCATAATTAAGAGAAAAAATATTGTTACAATTTACCTGTATTTTAAAGCCATTTACTCGGGACTTGGCATTTCATTACATAAACCAGCATTCAAAATTATTTCTCTGTCCTCATGCGCATAAACTTTTCTGTCGGTGTTTTAATGTTTCTGGCTCAGTTTAGCGAGTGCGCCTGTTATTTGTTTTTGTTAACATTGCTCTTGTATTTTCACTAGATTCTATGTGAAGCCGAAGGGAAATGACTGAACATTTAATTAATTCAATTAATTAGGAACAAATTATATTGTTAATTGTAATACTTCTTGTAACAGAATTTTCTCATTTCTATTAAATAAGCTTTTGTGGAGTTACACAGATGCCTGTAAAATTTCCCAATACACTAACATTCATTGTTGATTTTCCGATTTTTATTCCAGTTCTTAAAAAATATTTGGTTTACATGGTAATATCATTTCCGTTTTCTTTTCTTACAATGGGAAGGGCAAATCAATAAAAATAATTAAAAAAACATGAACGAATACCTGTGAATCGTAAATTTTTGTTTTCTACTAATCAATTATATAACCATGATATAGCTGATTAATACAAAATAAAAAAAATTCACGTTTTTTTCTTGCCTGAGCTTGATGATTCATCTTAAACAAAATAAACATTTAAGTAGTAAATAATGTCCATAATCTGAAATATGATATACGCAGGCTGCAAATGTAACAACTAACGAAGAATGCGTTTCGAAACTTCCACTTGCACTAGTTACTTTTAAACTACTTTTGCTCTTAAATCGACATGCAAAGGTTATGTAGATCGATATTTGATTGCATGTTATACGTACAATTTTAATAAAGCTTCCTAATCAGGAAGTCATTCAGATTTAAAATTCTATTCTAAAATTTCAGGAATAGAAATGAGAAAACGGCTGCCCTTCGACGATTCTGCTGAGGTTACGGATGACCTTGTGTATTCCACAGGTATGCTCCATAAATCTGTGCTCTTCAATAAAAGAAAATTATTTCAGAAATACAGTTTTTTTAAACGACATAACTCTACAAATTCTTGCGTTTAAAATTTATTTTCCTGCTGTAAAATATTAAAGTAACTGAAGAAATTTTACGTAAGACGAAAAGTCTTAAAACGAGTTCGCATCTGGGAAGGCAGTAAGAAAACAGTTACCAAGAGTTGTTAAAAATAGTTCTGAATTTTTGGAAACTGGCTAAGTTAATTATTCGTAAATATTTAAGAGCTTGCAAAGTTCTAGAAAGTTCTAGAAAACGATTGAAACGATTTAGATGTTTGATTGAAAACGAGACTATAATAAACTGTAATATTAAGCTCACAAATGGACTGATATGTTATGAATCAATCCAGAAGATTTAAAAATATTTCTTATAAATTTATTTTAAAAGATGAGTTTTTCGGGGTGCAATAAGCTCAATAAATATCCGAAAATGAGCTGAATTTTCTGCGTGCTTGATAATGATCCAAAATTATTCTTCAAAAGTACCTACTGGTAAATTACTTAAGCAGTTTCCTTCGAAAATAAATAATTTGTTTTCACGAGAAGGAATTAGATTTATTTCTCAGAAGAGGTATTAATCTTATGAATAGTGTTATATTAACTTGAATTTTAAACCTAAATGTTATGCTATCTCTGAGATGCAATATCAATATCACCTAACTACTCTACCGAAGTATTGCTTCTAATCTTCTAGTCGGAACAACAATCTTCAAGTCTGTGATATCAACAATGACTTCTCAATTTTGCTATTTTTCAAAAGCAGCTAAGGATACGTAATAGAATATTTCAGTTTGAATAGCAAAGCACATTCCATTGAGCGCATGTCTTCTTGTGACTTCTGAAATATTCTTTTCAGAGAAGCAGATGTTTACAAAAATAATGGGATATATTGAATACAATTAATAAATAATATTATACGCTGATTATAACTATCACCTATTACTTTCAATAAGTTTGATAAAAATGAATTCCAAGGATTTAATCAAACATCGTAAAAACACTTCGATACTTAATTAGTTAGAACGTATTTAAATTTCTCAAACATATATGTACAATGCACAAACCTTCTGATCTGATATACTGTATTTATGAATAATTCCTATTAATTCCTATTAATACTTCGCGAGCTATAGCCCTTTTTTATCCTATATATATTTTATGTGATTTAAACATAATATTTTATTACATTATTTTGTGTAATTAGGGTTACTTATAATTTTCTTGTAATTCATAATTTTACCGTAAAACCTTAAGAATTCCAATGCATTGTGTTTGATAACTTTAAATTTTTCCCCCATTTAGTTCCGGAACCAGAAGATGATTTCTTACTAGACGAAGGATGTAAGTAAAAATATATATAAATATATTTTGTATATATTATTATGTAGGGTTGCTCACTCCTGATGTCTAAGATGAAACGTCGAGGAACCTAGTGAACTATGAAGCGACTTATCGCTGAGTTCAAACAACTAAAAGATGTAGACTTGAGAGGGGTTAAAATACCCTTTTATTTTAGTCAAATAAGAATAACAGTCTGCCCCTTCAGGAAGCCTCTACTCGGGATTTAATTCAGAATAAGAAATAAGAAACTAAACTAGAATTAACTAAGTGAGACTTAAGCTAATCAAAATTATTTAACGTAATTGGTCCTTTAATTTCAACCAGCCGGCTAATATTAAAAGGCGCGTAATAATACGGCCCAGCTTATCAGCTTGTAAAGTGACTTGACGAGTGACCGAAGGCAAACACGCTCTATAAAGGATTCCTAGCACTCTCTATAGAAGTTAGTTGAACTTTCCTTAAATACTTCTAACTGATTTGCAATCAAAGTGGATTCTAAAAACTTATTCTGGTAGGGAGTTGTAAGTGGGAACAAGAATTGATAGGAATGGGTTTTGAAATTAAGATAATTGTTATAAAAATAAAATATGCCTTACAATTACTTTTGATTAATAAATTAATTAACGAATTTAAGTCCAGGCAGCAAGGCTGCACAAATTTTAGGTGTGGAAATGCGTACTTATTTTATTTACAAGAATGAGAATTGAAAATATTTCGCATAAATAATTTAGAACCGAAGAAATCAAAAACATTTAAACTTTATATCCAAATATTATTTGAATATGATGAATGCCTACGAAAAACTACTAATATATTTTGGTTTGCTTTCGTTTCTAATTTTTAATTCGCTGCAGTGTTTATTAATTTTTTTATTATTTTTATTTATTAATTTTTTAATTAATCATTTAATTTTTGTTAAAATATTATATTTAAACTTCTCATGTCGGTTTATGTTTTTTCTTACTTGTTGTTTGTTTAATGTAACTAGAAACTACGACTTTATGATACAAAAAGTAATGACATTACACTCTGTCGAGAAATATTATTATCCATGTAAAAACTATGGTGTTTCAAGAGTGATCTATCTCCTTCGGTATTATTTTATATGGAATTGTCGCAGAACAGGAAATTAACTCTATATATATTTAATAAAACAGTTGAATTTAATTTATTATACAAATTATCTTCATTTATTCCTAATCTACTTAGCATTGCTCTTAAAACAGTATTTTAGCATAAATAAATTCATTATTTATTAAAGATTATTTTCAGATTATAATATTGTTGCCTTTCCGGTAATACAAGACTGATTATTTTATGAAGTTTTTATTATTTTTCAAATTTAAATTTATTTTTTCAAATTACTTTTAAAATTATTTAACCTTGAAATAATTTTCTGTAATATAAAGTAAATATTACTATAATATTTTTTTAAATACTCTAAGAGATCTTCTGTAGTTTGTATACACAGAATAAAAATATATTTGCATATTTATTCCAGACATATACTTGCTAAATCGCGTTAGAAATACAAGAGTTATATGCAAAGATTATTAAGGTTATTATAATTTTACGTAACCCGTTATTTTATCATTTAGAGCTATACTGTTACTTCTCTCTTCCGTTTCCCTATCAGAATGTAAATTTAGTTTCAGAGTATTTAAGCTGAAATTGTTCGGATTGTAAGTCAGAGTGTGTTTCTGCCTCTAGAGGGCACGTTACTAAGTTTTGTTAGTTCAGATGAGATCGTAGTTTACGGTTTTGCATCATGCGTTGCGACATTTAAATTATTACAACGCTGAGAAGTTTGAACCTCCGTCGCGTTAAATCATTTGGTGTAGTCTTCGACCACTGGTCGTAGTTTTAATTTGATTAAAAGTTATTTTAAGTTTCATCGCCCCAAGTTGTGGTGGCTTATTTGAGCACGAGAAGTGTCTTTATATCCAAGCTCTGATTTAATAGAAACTTTTGTTTAAACCTTTTGAAGACTCAAGTAGTTGTTTTCAGATAGAGCAATAACTAGCTTGACGTCTGTTAAAAGTTTGGTGCTAGTTTATGCTACCAAGCAAAGTCAAACTGTACAGATTAAAAAAAAAAAAATAACTCCGTTACATGCCAAAAAAAAAACAGAGTTATATTCGGAAAAGATGCTATGAACTGATATATAGAACGGTAAATATTTATGATCAGCTTATTTTATTTTATTATGATACATTTTCACCTGCAAAGATTTCATTAGGCTAATTTTTTATAATATTTATGATGTTTAGTTGATGTCTTTTAATTTTTAATCAGACATTGCGACTATTGACAAGCTACCGCCTTGAAATTCTATATTAAATAATCTAAGTTAAAGCTTTAAATGAGAGAGCTTTCTTTCTTTTAACTTTGTAAATTAAAATGGTAACTAAAACATAGCTATTACGTGCATTTCGTAACACAACCATACTAATTTCGAGACAAAATAGCAATTTCTGACTCTTACTCATAATATTTAGCTAAAATGACTCATAATATTTACATTACTCATTATATTTAGATAAAGTTTTAGAAGATAAATTCTCACTTCTCGTATAGCTTTCAATATCCAGTCGATCATTTACATAATTCTGATATGAACAAATCAGTTATATAACTCAAACCATATTTTCTGCTAAGCTAAACAAACAGCATATAGCTATAAAATTAATCTGTTTACCTTTTAATTTAGCCTGCATATTTGAAGGAAGAATCTACGAATCTGCAGAACAGATTCCTCGAGCTGATCCATGTGAATTCTGCTTCTGCTTCAGAGGAGATATTATCTGCTTGCAGCAGTCTTGCCCTCCACCAGCACCCAACTGCCACAGAACAATGATTGCTGGGTACTGTTGTCCAAGATATGACTGTCGTAAGTTTTCAATCAGTACTCTTGCTTCTAAACCTTAGCATATTCAATTTTTTTTCATTTATTTTGTACTATTGTATTTAGTTGCGAAACACATATGGTGAGAAGTCTGTCTGGATTGTTCATTTTATTACAGTAAAAAACGGTCATTTTTCTTCTAAAAAAATATTTTAAAATTTTTCTAGCTGTTTATATGACATCAAGGAATATCAGCAGTCTCAGCAGAAGGAAGGGTGTTCAGCCAATCATAATCCAAAGACGAATTGAGAAAAGAGAGATAAGACCTGCTATAGAAGTTAAAGGTATATGCGGCTTTGACTAAATTAAAGGAAATTAAATTAATTTTATTCAGTTAATATTTTATATCTAATTCCGTAGTTACCCTTGTGATTTGAATTATTTAATTTGCTAAGTAATAATTATGCTCATCATCATCATCATCATCATCATCATCATCAATATGTCTTGCCCTGCATGCCCTGTGGCTTTTCTCGCTTGGCTTCAGCCATGCCATTTAATTCTGTGTCAGTCATCTTTCAGCATTTTGCTCCAAGTCAGTTTCGATATAATACATCTATAGGCCTCTTTCCACCAAGAGTCTGTTCAGTATCAGTCTTGGTTTGTCAGTCTAATTGTTGGCCCTCTTAATATATATTTTATCCATATTCTTTATTTAGTTCCTTCTGTCGTAGCGCGTTTTGTTTGCATTTATGTATAACATTTATCTTTGGAAATAATGCATGGGTAAAAGAAATTTTTTTCCTCAAATATTATGTTCAAAAAGTCTTTTATAAGTTTTCTTGGTTCTTTTCTTCTCGTCTATCATATAATATTGATTTTACAACTGACTTATTAGTTATTTTAAGAAAATAACTGAACCTTCTTTAACTTATTTAATACATTCAGGAGGTATTTGGCTTCGCAGCGTATAAACAGAGTTTAATTTCCACGATTCAATTTTTAAAATGACTTATATCCTGTTAAGGCTAAATTAAACTCTACTCATCGAATTCAGCTGTCAGGTTTATAATTCGCATTACTAATAGAATTTCCCTTGATATTTGCTTTTATTCGAATTTTGTATTTTTATCATACCTGTTTCTATATTATATGAAATTTAATCGGGACTATAACGTAGAAGAATAATTTATAAAAAGGCTTGCCAACTGATTCATTGTTGCGATGGTAAGACATTCGTCTGAAGGTCGATTCTTTGCCGGAGCTAATCATTACAGTTATATTAAATTCTCAAATTTTGTTATATCATGCTGCAAAGTTTTTGGATGCAAAACTTTGCATTCTTCAGTGAGATGGAACATATACTTCTCTGTTCAAAAACATTCATAGAAAATTGTTGTTGCGAGCATGAATATTTCAACAATTTGAACTTTGGCTATTGCAGGACAACAGTTTAATCTTTATGGAAGAAGTGTATGAAGTGATATTATATGGAACAACCTAGCTCGTCTTGCACTGCATATAAAATTAAAGCATCATTCAACCATTTGGAGTGGAATCATAGTTCGAGGAAAGAGAGTTTCACTGAAGAAGCCTGATTGCCACAATCACCTTATTTGTCAGTTTTCTCTTTTTAAGACAGAGCTGCTGTTTCTTATCAAGACGTTTTTCTGGGGATTCGAAGTTTTCATACAACTTAAGCTATCCAAAATAACGACTGGTCAATCTGCGATAGACATGAAAAGAGATATTCTCCCAGTGCTTCAAGGAATGCCAATAGTGTTGAAGTGCATATGCATTACCATTCATTTTACTTTAACTGACTAGTTAATAATTTTCTGCATTTCCAACAAAAACTGGCCAAAAATCAAGCATTTCAAACATAGGAGTTTGTGACTTGCTATCTGAAGTGATATGAAAGACTATCTAAAAACTATCCCTTTATCATAATAACATGTAATTTCAAATTTTTAATTCTGATAATGCTTTTTATTACGGTAAAAATATTCAATCCTGACCTTGGAATTTTAAGTTTCACAGAAAATTATAAATTCAGGCTGAAGTCATATTAGATTTGTTTAACCATACTGTCGCATTCGTTATAGATTTTTTTGAGTTAATAAATAACATCCATTCATTTAGAATTTAAATCTTTTTCATTTGTTTGTAATTCTTTAAAATCATTATGTTACCTTTCTACAAATGCTGTAAAGCGGTTTTGTAATTTTGGAGCAGGAAATATGAAAAAGGAGCAGTGCCTTTCCAGGGTTTGAACTCCGGACATCCCGATTGCTGGCCGCATGCCACAGAGGCACGCGTAATGAGTGATCCCTGCCCCACTTAACGGGCATATACACAACAGACAAATCCAGGCAGTGGCGAATGATTTTCCACCATTTTTCTTCAATTCGGGCGTCACTTGTAGAGTTATTAAATATATATTTCGGAGAAGGAGACCTGAAACTGTGCAATGCCTATCGCCGGGACTCGAACTGTTGATCTTCCAATTGCTATCCGGATGTACTTTCCGGTTAAACTATGAAGTAACGCAGCAAGGAAGAAGAAAAATCCCTTACATTCTCCGTCACTTAAAGGGCGACTGGGGAGGTACGGACTCAATTCTCAGTCTCCGAGTTATTGTACAACATATTTTAGTTCGGTCACCACTTGTGGAGTCATTTTAAGGTTTCGTAGGTAGAAAACCCTCAGTACCTTAGCCAGTTTTCGAACTCTGAACCTCCTAAACTGCTAGTAAGAAGGACTTCCAATTATACACCGAAAACACATGGGAAGAAAATGGAAAATATCTTACAGCGTTCATACTATCTTAATTTCAAAAATTCAAATATGTAGTTCTACTTGATAATATGTTCTTTCTTCACTTCAGAATTTCGTTCAAAATATTCATACCAAATACTGTTGTATATGTTCTTATTTACAGTCAACTAGCATCAGAAACTGAATACAAGTTTTTGAGTTGTGTATAAATATTCTATTGCAAGATCTCTTTGTTTTCCAAACACTTTGAATATTTTTTTGAATATTTTTAATTCTGATAATGCTTTTTATTACGGTAAAAAATATTCAATCCTGACCTTGGAATTTTAAGTTTCACAGAAAATTATAAATTCAGGCTGAAGTCATATTAGATTTGTTTAACCATACCGTCGCATTCGTTATAGATTTTTTTGAGTTAATAAATAACATCCATTCATTTAGAATGAATATTTTTGTTATATGTTTGTAGCTTGAATTAATTTTTTAAAAAATTTTTTAAGTAAAGGTTTCTGCCTTTAAAACTTTAGAAATATTTCTAATCAGTATTTATGTAATATTAAATCTAAATTGTGACTGCAAGTTTGCTGTTTTGAGGAGGGTACTTTAATTACATTCACATCATTCGAATTATCAAGAAAACAATTTGCTTTCAAGGAAAACGTTAATAAGAACTGTTGCTTTAGGTTATTTTTAGTTCATTTTCAACCTAAATGCTTAAATATCAATCAAAATTAATATATTTTTAATGAGTCTTAAAGGCAAGCTTTAGAATGAAAGTAAAAATTCTACAATTAGGGCAATTAACTCCAGATCTAGAAAAACTAATGATAATAAACTTAGATGTGTGTAAAAACCTTTTCTTAGACAAATTATTCAAGACTTCAAAGAGGATTAAAATGTGTACTCTTTCAGTTAGAAATATTTTAAAATTGTTCTAGACCTTAAGTTAATTATTAAAACCGAATTACGTGCATATTGGTCTACATCTGAAACACTTTTTTGAAAGCATAGTTTTTTCAAAGTATTCTCCTCCAAAAGTATGGAGAAGAATATTCAGACATATCATCATCCTATTCAGTACAACTCTAACATGTTCTTTAAGAAGAACTGCAATATGATATATCTTACTTAGAACATCTTCTGCAAGTGAACTCGTCATTTTGCATAGGTGCATTCTTAAAACTTAACTTATTAAGCAGAAGAGGAAACAGAAAGCCGAATCTTAAAAACCATAATAAATAACAGAAAAGAAAACCATAAAATGACTGCTTCTGTGGCAGTAGTAAACAGTGCTTTGCTACAAACAAAATAATTGCAGTGATCATTTAGTTAATTTAGAATTAATATATATATATTTTTTTAGGTTGCCAAGTAAATGGCACATTTTACGAAGTGGGATCCACTGTGACATCAGCAAGTGGACCTTGCCTCCACTGTATGTGCCAAGACGGAGGCATCATGAGATGCGATCCTCAGAAGTGCAAACCACAAGCTCCCCTTATGCTCAAAATGAACAATAGTTTTTTCAGGAGCCGGAGATAACGGACGAAGCAAATAAATCTTTCCTTCATCTTCGGAAAGCAAACAATGCGACGTTGTCAACAAATGATGAAATTAAAACTGATAATTGTTGTTGACGAACTTTTTTCTTAGTTCCTGCGCTGTTCTCGGTGCTTCATCAGTATTCATCATGCATTCATCATGTATCCATTACCTTTTTGTATGGTCCATGATGACACTCAAACTGCCAAGGGTAAATCCGGAACAATATATAATAACTGCAGAACTACGAGAGAACTGTACTCTGATGAAACATTCCATATATTCTTTCACTTGTCATCCACTTCATTCAGCAAATACGCTTTACTTCTTACTTGCAGTAACTATGCAAATTCTTTGGTATGGCGGATATAATTTCTGATAATGCTTCAAAATAATAAGTGTAATAGTAGTATTTAATCAAAATGTTACAGACCAGGAATGCCACTTTCACTGAGAAAGTTATTAGCATTCCGGCCCCGCAGTGGCTAGTTTCAAGCTCTGCTGATAGTCAGATGTTTCGTCTTTATTTATAGTTCATGTTCTTTGCCAGTAAAAAATGAATCTTCTAAACGGCAGTTAAAGTAGCATGTTTAATAGTTTGTGTCTAAATGGAATTATTAAAACGAATTCCATGTACAGACTTTAATTCTGTGATGTGTAAGTGTCTTGTTGAATACTCTTTTTTACTTTCTTTGTCATTGAAAGGTTATTAAATGACTTAAGATTGGTGCTGTAATTTTTATTAGGCATATCATTTATGGAAGTCTTTAATGCGTCATTAAATTGCGTTAATTTATAAGAGTGAAGTGAAAATTACGTAAAGTCGCAAGTATTCTTGCCTATTTTGCTTTGGTGTCAGTGTCCTGTTTGAATATTTTGTGTATATGTGTGTGCTAGTTTTTGATTCTGGTTATTAGATTTGGTTTTGGTTACTACTAGGCAAAACAAAGGTGCCATACCCGTTTGCTGTAAATGTTGTGGTATTTAAATGTGGATTCGCCAAAGATGTCCGATGGCTTTACTTGGAAATAATGAGATTAAGGTGGATTTATCGCAGTAATTTTTATGATGTATTTTTTAACAAATAGAAGTTAATATTACATTGGTGAATTCTGAACTGCTGTATAAAAGGAATTAAATATAAACTGAGCTTTAATGCTTTAGACAGTAATGAGGAAATGCAAGTAGGCGATAATTTGTAAATGGGAATGAAACGCTGCAAACGACAGGAATCATCGCCATTCATAGGTTTGGGAAACAGATGAGAGTAAACTGATATTTATTTTTAAGAATGTTTTTCCGGTTAATGGATTCTACAAAACCCCATAAACTAAATAAAGCATTTAATGCTATTTTGTCAGGTAATCTTAACTAATTATTTCGGTTTATTAAATACTAAGTCATTCTTATTTCATCCATGAATTTTTAAGCAGAAGAAAAATATGTTTGCGTCGATTTTAATTTGTATCATTGACTAAAGTATGCCAATCTATTACTTCTTAATACTCTATTTTGAATGTACGTATAAATGAACTTCCGGTTTTATCTTGGAGGAAAGAATCATAAAAAATACTATATCTCGCTTTAAAAATTTAAAAAAGATAAAAATGCCATTATTTCCAACTAAGTCAGGATATCTGATTATACTTTTGAACGTTACTTTGGTTTCATTGGCCCAAAAAAGTATATTTTAACGTCTTTCGTGGAACGTTCAAACATAATCTTGATGAAAGATTCTTCTTAATTTATTTGGTATTCAATATATGTTGCTTTCGACTCAAATAAATGAGACAATCATTGGAAGAAGGGAAAAAGTGCGTTTATGAATGAATAATTTGGCTGTTTAAAGTTTAATATGGAACTTCTCTGTCTAAAAATTAATATATATGCAATTTTAGACTTTATTAGCATTCTACGTTGATCTTCTTTCATACGCATCATCAGGAATGAAGCTTATGGAAGAAGGAAACTTACAGAAGTCCAGTGTTCATTGTAAGTGTTGTTGTTTTTTATGTGCTGAAGACGAAATCGTCACCATTTTGTGGACCAATGGAACCAAAAAGGCTCTCGTTTAGCTTGTATTTTCTGAGTTTTTAAGTCTATATGCAGAAAGGATGAGAGAATAAAGTAGGCCTATTACCAATACCGTCCTGTTTTATTGTTGTTGTTTTTATTAGTTCAAGTATATGTCTTTGAATTATGAGTGTCGGGAACAGCAGACCTTGGACTTAATCGATACGTTTGACAGCTTTTGATATTATTTTTTTACTATCTTAGATATAAATATCAACTCGCTGTTTCACATATCGATTGATGAAAGTGTTACTTAAAATTAAAAAAAGAACGTACGTATGTACATATATGAAGAACTATTACTTTTCTAATTACTATTATTATTATTATTTGTGTGTCATTAATTTAATTGCATAGGAGTTGTATATTGAAATAAAGTGAATTCTTTAATTTCGCTAAAAGTGTCTTTCGTTTATTAAACCTTTTACATGCACATGCAGAACATTTACTGCTCTTTTCACTACTAACCACGAAAACGATCCCACTTCTGACAATAGGTGACGGAGGACGGGAACAGTTGGTGTCTAACAAAGGCAAGCAGGTATATAGTAGCTCCCAAAAGTGTTCGTACACTTATGGTTTTCATTGAAATAGGGCTCTATTCATTAATTAAATGTAAACTTTCTGAATGAGATTTTAATAATAAGATCTATAATCTATTCGTAACAAAATTACCTGAAATATTTTTTTTAAATATAGCGAAACTTTATTTTTAAGAGATTAATAATAAAAATGACAAACATTTCATCTCACAAAAGTCTTTGTACACTGAAATATTTTTGGATGAAATCAAAATTAGAATTCTCGTTTGCCGCTTTTTACTTCCTTGTACGAAGTTAAAGGAAGTATTGTAATCGCGAAAAGTTTCAGGCAGCATCTTTCAACGCAAATATCCATTTTGAACGCTTATCGAATGCAATTTAACGATGTTTTTGCGTGATACCTGTACGTAAGGACAGAATAAAAGACTCTTTTCCTCCAAAAAAATTTAAAACCGCTTCTTTAAAATTAATTCTGAAGAGAATTTTTCGTGGCGTCTGTACGAACGTAATGTACGTACGTATCTCGCATAACTCAAAAACGAGTAGCCTCAGAAGTTGAAAAAATTTGTATATAGGACTGCTATAACATGTAGATGTGCACCTCGTATTTTGGTTGCAATTCGGCCGCACGACCACACGTATATAAATATATTTATATATATATCCACTCTGTTACCCGGGCTCAGTGATCTCAGTTTCTTTACTCTTATATGTTTGTAAATTGTACATTTTTTGCTTTAAAAATGATTGAATTATATTGTTTTTATCTTCCGGTTTAGGTTTTTATGCCTTTAGTAAATCTGTATGCAATATTTTTAGAATTATCAACAATTTTAAAGTTGTTTAAGTGCCGCTAAGCCTTTTTTTTGATGGCGGCCATTGATTGTTTACTTTGAAACAGCAGATAGTGGATTTTTTTGCCAATCTAGAGAAAACTAGGTTTCGCAACAACAAAGATAACGCCTTCATTTATATTGCGAAGTAATCATGCTTAATCCTCTGAATTTTTTCGAGGAAAATAAGTGTTTAAGATTTACTTCGTAATTTTTATATAGATATTTTGAGTTTTATGTATTTTTGCCTTGTCGCGAAGTGAGAACTGAATTAATTGAATGAGAAAATACTCAATCGTCTGTGAAAAACTGTTTCTTTTTGTTTGTTTTGCTTAACTTTTTTTTATACATCATTCTAGCTTTATTATAGTATTTGAATAGAACATGTGGCAACTATTAGATAATTCTTTCTTAAATGATAAAATTTTGTGCATTATGAGTATAATAATACTGTTAAAGTGACTCTAGCGCCAGAGTGTCGCAATGGAAACACTAGAGTGAATTTTAAAGAATCATTATTCTATTGTGGTTTATGCGCTGTCGGCAGTAGTAGATTTAATCAATCAATAAGTTTAAATGAAATGCAAGAAAAAAATGCGTATAATTTAATATTCCGTACAAGGAAGTCATGGGTGTACACATCAGATTTTTAATTTTTTCATTGTGGTGGCATTTAAAAAATATTTTTCTTTAATTTTTTTATTGTTTACTTCATAATATTCTATTTATTATTGAAAAATGGGTCGCAGTCGTAAAGAAATTACAAACAGCATTCGAAAACTGATAATTTTTCACCATACTAGTGGTAAATCAATTCGAAATATCGCTAAATTAGTTAATTTATCCCATTCTACAGTGCAGCATGTGATAAAACGCTTTAAAAAAGAAAATCGGATTGAAAACAAGGTAAGAAAAGGTCGACCGAGAAAGTTAACTAAACGCGATGAGAGATTTATTATTAGAAAACTTTGAAAAACCCACGTTTGAGCGCTGTAAAAGTTTCTGCAGAATTTAATGCAAAGTTTTCTACTTCAATTTCACTTGAAACTGTTCGACGAGTTCTCAGAGAAGCTGGATTACATGGGCGTTCTGCCCGTAAAAATTTTTTTTTTTTTTTTTTTTTTTTGTTAGTGAGAAAAACAGAAAGCTTAGGCTTTCATTCGCAAAATCAATGATAAATACACCCGAAACGTATTGGAATAATATCCTATTTGCTGACGAAGGCAAATTTAACATTTTTGGTTCCGATGGTCGGATAACTGTATGGAGAAGAAAAAATGAGGAACTGCATTCTAAGAACTTAGTTGGAACAGTTAAGCATGGCGGTGGAGATGTTCTTGTGTGGGGGTGCATGACAGCATCAGGACTAGGTAATTTGGTATTTATTGATGGCATAATAAATCATTCTCTTTACTTAAATACTGTAACAGCAGACAATTTAAAATTATCAGCCCAAAATCTGGGTATTGGAAACAACTTTATTTTTAATCATGATAACGATCCTAAGCATACGTCTCTCAACTTTCACCTGTGGTGTCTCTGTAATTGTCCACAGGTTTCGAAAACACCACCTCAATCGCCAGATTTAAACCCCCATAGAACACATTTGGAAAAACACTGGAGCTACTGTATGAAAACACGACATCAAAACGAAAAGCAAACTCAAATTAGTCATGATGGAAGAATGAATGAACATTGATACAGAAATAAAAAAAACTGGTAAAATCTATTCCCAGACGCTTAAAAGCTGTAGTGGATGCTAAAGAATATCCTACTAAATATTAATTTAACGAAAATGAAAATATTTACTAATATGTCAAGAGTTTTTTAAGTGTACGAAGACTTTTGTGAGATAAAATGTTTGCCATTTTTTTATTATTAATTTCTTAAAAATAAAGTTTCGCTATATTTTAAAAATATTTCATATAATTTTGTTACGAATAGATTATAGATCGTATTATTAAAATCTCATTCAGAAAGTTTACTTTTAATTAATGGGTAGAGCCCTATTTCAATGAAAATCATTGAAGTGTGCGAACACTTTTGGGAGCCACTGTATGTTCCACTCCCTCCACTATCTTGAACCGGCAGCTCCCTCGAGTCCCAGGATACAACAAATACTTGCAATACTGCATTAAATATGATTCTTCAATTAAATACATTAATACATTGGATACATGACTAAACAAGCATTAGCTGTTAAAATGCATTTGTAATGCTCTTGGGCGCACTCTTCCATAACTCTTAAGTACACCAAATATTACTAATAATTATTCTTATATATTATAAAATACTTGTAGTTCTACATTAAATATCCGTCAAAATTAAATACATTTATACAGTGGATGCATGAGTGAGGTAAAGTGATACATTAGTTACGTACTTGGGAGCTTGAATACATTAAACCTGTTTACATTCAGTATTTGGGAACTTGCGTTATTTGAGTGCTTACATGCGTTGATATAATAGATACATGATTATGTTACATGAATACTGTTTATAAACTTTAATACTAGTTACATGCTTGAATACTTGATTGCAACAAAAACACTTGACTGCTTGATTATATTAACTTATATACGTTCATTATATTAGTATCTGAGTACAGTTGTTGACACTTATGTATATATACAATAATTCTTGAATACATAAAGTACCTATGCATCATAGTTTACCCTGAATACATAAATTCATATAGTTTTGAATACATAAATTCGTATAAGCTTGAATACGTATACACGTTATTGCTTGAATATTTAATTAATTACTCTTTTTATTACTGCTGGAATTCTGACTCTAGTGGCACTCATTGGCACTGTCGCTGATGGCGGAGTATATCATACATTTGCTCGTACAAACACTACGGAAGCGTTTTATGTAGAAGATTGACAGAGACCTTACTTAGTTCGTAGCCACAATATCTAGTCCTGATGACATTAGTAGATTAATGATGTTGTACATTCTCTGTCGTAGGGCTGGAGTTCTCAATATAAACCGTCTGAATGGACTGATGTAGGTGAAAGGCATTCTGTTATGGAATATTTCGGTTAGTAAAAAGTCCGTAACGTAGTGGTCAGGATTTCCTTGTGCTCCGCAAATGCAAAGGTCCGAGGATTAGCAAGATAGATGAGGAAGTGTGTTGATTTTATTCATGGCTAATATTGCTTGCAGATCTTCAAACATCATGTTGTGGATAATGTTCGTGATGTTTTTGTTGAGTTCATCCAGAGTATATGGGTCGTTGACGTATACTTTAAATTTTCCCACAAATCGCATATGGATAAGTCCAGGGAACATCGTAGTCATAAACCTTTGCTCACATTTCCGTAAATAATTCATAAACCAATACGAGTAAGGTAATTCATAAACCAATACGAGTAAGGTATGGCATGGAGCTTACTGAAGAAAAGCAGCATATTTTTTCTTCTGATGTCAGTTGACAGAAAAATTATTTATTCATGAAACTTAATTTTTGACATGATGAACCAAATATCGATTTTCTATTTGTTAAGTGGTATGTCGAGAATTAAGTTCATATTTTTAGTGAACCTTGTATTTTAGAAATTTATGTCACCTGATGAATGAAACTAAGCTTCTTCCGTCATAAAGTACAGCTATGGATTCAAATATATGTCACGATTCATTATCGGCATATATAACATATAATAGTATATGCGTATAAATGCTATATATATAA